AAAATGATATTTTCAGCAGAATATGATGGCACACAAGGTCACCATTTCCTAGCACATACGTATCCGCATGATTTTACACATGGACACTTCGAAAGTCATCAAGTGTATCAGACCTGTGCCCGCACGAGACCTGTATAATACAGGTTGAAACGGGCCTGTTGGGAGGGGTTGGTGTATTCAGTTCAAACACGGTTTCAATTTGGCATTCAAGTGCGTAGTTACTGCAAAGCCCCCACCTCATAATTTATAAAACCAGTTGGCGGCGGTTTCTTATACATCCGTTTTTTTGCATATTATTCTTTGACACGTTACGTTCCGTAAGGGAAGTCGGAATATTGTTTTCGCGCTCCGGAACTACTCCAATCAACAATGCGACTTTTGCATCTACATCTCATCCCATCTCAAAGTCTGGCGAAACAACATCTAGTTTCTAACATGAAACGAGAAAAGTAAACAGCCAGTTGAATGCCGATGAAATTGGAACAAATGGATATGTCTCTTTATTTGCGCACTTATTTCAAGCAAAAGGAGAATAAAAGAAGTTGGAGGCGGGGCGGGGGAGGGGGGGGACTCAGGACGAAGGCCATAACCGAGTCAAGGATAAGCGGAGCAAAGCATGTCGCATCGACCAAAAAAATACATTTCTGTGACTACAAAGTCGAAGGGACCCACAGCCACCCAGCACAATCAAAGCAAACCTCAAATTTGACACCACCAAACAATCCAAGAGCACCATAAAGATCATAATCGCCTTCCAGGCCCTCAACACCGCCCGCATCCTCATCGACCTCCTCATGTAGATCCCAGCTCTTTTCAACTTTGCCATTTCGAGTGAAGAATATCTCCACCCGTAGTGTTGGTGATGCACCATTTGCTTGAGCGGTGGCCAACGAGTCTGGAGAAGGTAACGCAAATTTCATTCCTAATCCAACTATTTCACCAATTTTGAATGGGGTGGTGAACTCCATCCCGCCCCATGAATCGTTTACAAATCTGCAACCGTCATCTGAGAAGACGCCCACGCTGCCTCGTTCCCAACCGGGTGATCTCCAAGTTGGATATGGTTGAGCCGCAAATCCGATGGAAAATCCACTCACTTGGTCGTTTATTCCATTGCCCTGGCCAAGGAATTTCGCCTCGAAGTATATCATCTTTGTTCGTTCTGTCGCTAGAGGAGAGTCTTTCGCTGAAAAATATAATGGCAAACTAGTCAACAGAATGCAGTCTCCATTACGGTCCTTGGTATGTCCACTCCATCTTCCCCTTCCCACGACTTCTAACTCTCCGTTGTATTCTTGGGGTCTGACTGGTCTAAGGTCAAAATTTTGAACAGAGCTATAGATAACGTCAGAAGGTGTATATGGGGTCCATAGCGGGTTATTATCACAGAAGTTATGTGCTCGATCTGCATCTTCTGCCGATGCATTTCCCGTATTGGAATATAGATAGCCTCCAACCGGGGGAGGGGGGAACATAGCTGTGTCTGGGACAGCTTCCTCCCAGTTGTGATAGGGCGGCGGATTGTCGGACGGCGCCTTGGGTTTTTGATCGTTATTTCCGTCTTGATATCGTGGTGGACGCCCAGAAGTTTCAGGAAGGACAGGTTCTGGACGTTGATTTTCCGTTGCTTCAGGTATCATAGTGTGGCTGCTGGGCCCCGAGGCACTCATCCCAGCGTATCCAAAGACAAGGCGTTTTTCATCGCCTGTAGATAGAGCTGGTGGGTTGGTGATAGCTTGGTGCATATCCGCTGGGTAAGGAGCTGCTGGATTGATGACCTTCTTCTTGTTTCGAGAAGATGTGTTGTTGATGTCGTCGACAGGTCGACTAGGAGCAATGATTTCGTCTCGATCGTCCTTTCCGCAGCAAGGAAATGCCATTATCACAGGAGATGTGGATTGAACATCAAACGCAGGGAGTTAACCTTGAGATGTTTCCCCCGTCACGAATATATAAGACACAGCTGGAGGACGCTTTTGCGTATAGAATTGCTTCCCGTTATTTAAACATATATGTACCGCAACATATAGTGAAACCGAGGGGAAATTGAAGAGATGTCCTCCGGAGGACACAATATGATACGTGAATCCTTCTTTTGATAGCCAACAGGCAGGGATGGAATGAAGAATAATCCTGAAGAGAGGTTAGGCAGAACTTGAAGAATGAGAAAATCTGACTTGTTTACTCTTTTTTCAAAACTGAATAAGATTTGATTAAGGATATAATGTAATGTAAATATCAATATTGAAGAAATTCCGATGAATGCTCAGAAATCCCAATTTAATAATTTGTGGAACTTCTGAGATAACTTCTCCGCATTTAATAAAGGTTGGAGGTTTTGAGGCACAGTGTCGTGGCTGAGCCCGTCGGTGTCATTTGTTGATGGGTGGATGTCCAAATAAAGTTGTGGGTCCATATTAAGCTTAATAATATAAACCATGGATTGATGTTGGAGTCTAAATTGCGTCAAACCCTTGGTCAAATGAACATGCATGTTACCTCAGCAATAGGACATGACTACCTAACTAACTAGTCAACAAAGTTAGAACTAAGTTAGTTAACCAACTAGTTAACTAGTGAACTATCCCAGAAATTGTTGTTCGACCTCCCTACTAATGATAATGACTTCATCTCTCTTCTACAAGACCATCTCAACCAATTTTATTCTTCTTCCACTCGCAAACGAGGCCCCTGTAGTTTTCAGAGTGTAAGGTTTGAAAATCTCGGCAAATATTCCTTGAAAGTGTATCCAGAGTTTGAGCACCCGATTGACGTACGGAATGAGGTCAAACGTAAAGCATAGAGATGCAGCGATTCTGATATGGAAATTTTCACTTCGCAAACTCGCTGTGTAATGTGGCTTCCCATTCGATGTCATACAGGAAAAAGGCGTTGGCTGTATCAAGCGGTAATTTGCTCGTGAAATATTCCATCAACCATATAGCTTGGGAGAAATAAGGGTTGTTAAGTTTCGAGACCATACCAGCAAACGCGACGCTTCTATCTTTTATGAACGCCGGTGGTGCTATTTGCCAACAGAGACGGAATAGCAGATAAGGGCATCTGTGGTAAGTGATGGTTAAGTGGACTGTTTTAGGCGAAAGATTGGATATTTAAATCTGGATCTTTCCTTTGTACACAAAGTCGAAGAAGTCAGTGGGATTCCTCAAAATTCCAAAGCCAGCACCCGACTGGAATCTGTTTTCCCAAGGTTTCAGCTTGTTGGTTTTCGAATGCTGAGTATTCTGAGTGAATGGAAAGATGATGGCCTCTAAAATTAACCAGAACATATCTTCCAACCATCTACCACATGCCGTCCTATGAATAAGTCTCCTGATTTTGCTACATCCATCGGCATCTCCCCAGGAGCACGGACTAAGCCATTCCAAAAGACGTGTATTCACCAACATTTCAACACAAATGCTGAAAGGGGTAACAAATCATGGCAATATCCAAATTTGAACAGTTCCAGAAGCGTGGATCACAAGACTACCCATGATATCGGATAATGCGGCTAGATATGCGACGTCATGTCCAGACTGGGATGCACCAAAACATCAACGCTGCTAGCAGAATCGAGTGTCTTTGGCTGCGCTTTCAAAATTTTGAAGTGGAATAGCGGGTCCCCAAAAGGATCTGGCCCTCTGGGCTACGGAGGCTGGGTTTGTTATTAATTCCCGTTTCATTAATCAATTTTTTTGTTGAGAATATGTCTTATTGCTCAACCGAGATGTGGTCCCATAGCTAAGGAGCCATTTCCGTTATCCCTCTTGTTGACCGTTTTGACTTAGATCGGATTTTCGAATATACACTGTACTCCTCAAGGTATGTTCGTAGTCATCTGTATGTAGATTCTCCCGATATACGTTGATCATGTTAAACCCCAAACGCCTCAGGATCCATAGGGAAATCACTGAATCCGTATGTTCCAGTTAAGCTAGTTATTTGAAAACAGTCCAGAATACAACCATTCTTGCGCCCACATACCACATATTGATGACGACGCGTCCAGGAGAACAATCTTTTTGGAAGAAACGTCTAGATATGTGTTTATCATAACTAGCCTATTTACATGTGAGGTATTGGATTTTCAGAAAATCATCCCTATTTTTAATATCATATTGACTTAGAAGGGCGTTAGAGTGAAGTGTGAGTGGAACTGTATTGAATTGAATTTGAAAATAGAAGACTTTGCCTCAACGGCTCCAACGATCACCAAATCTGCACTTTCAGTAATCATTACTTGGGTTCCTGGTATAAATGTTTTATCGAGTCTGGTCTCGCTTAGTTCTCTCCGATATCTTGCTTTCTTCCCTGGAGATGTATTCACCCCCTGAACAAAGGAATTAATCAGCCATCAACAACAGTGATGACAGTTAGACAGGCAAATTGTTTCCCCTTCTTATTCCAATGCGTAAAACCACATTCAAACCCTCAGATAAATCTAGCAATCAGAGCACCAATATTTCCAGATTAGTGATTGAAGAAGGAATCTTATCCCCAATTTATCAGCTACAGTGACGGAAACAATGCCCTTCTAGAACCCACCGCGGGCATGTTACTTAGCCATTATTTTTATGCACCCAGCATTGATAACTAGTTATCACCTAGGCAACGCGACGTAATCCCCGATTTCTAATTTTCTTTTTCGATAATCGGCCCAGGAAATCCACAGCCGTCAGCCGATGCGCCGAGCCCCTCCAAAAATAAAAATTTAACAATGTTTAGGGCCCTTTCTTTCTTTCCGTTTTTCTTACATAGTTTATTGGAGATGTCGAGCCCCACCATCACGTGACCCATATTCCACCATTCTCGTATTTGAGCAATCATCGCAATCGATCAAACTTGCCATTCTGTCATATTGTTGGTAATCAACTGTTTCATGTTAGTTTTGGTTTGCAACGTCTTTTAATGATACATGAGCAACTACCCCCAAAATTATTGCAATCCAGAACTCGAGTGACAGAGTTCCTATAACGCTATCCGAAAGAGATCCTAACATGGTCCCTTCAACAGCTAAACCATTCCCACAACCCAGTGTTATGCGTTAGTCCTGGCATACAGACTAGATGCCCTAGAGAATCACCGCTCAACCGAAAGTCTCCCGAGCGAATGTGATGTCCTGATAATAGGAGCTGGGTACGCAGGCGTCTCTACCGCGTATCACCTTCTACATGATAATCCATCACCGCCTAGGGTATTAATTCTTGAAGCCCGTCAGGCCTGCTTTGGAGCTACGGGCCGAAATGGCAAGTCTTTTAAATTTCAAAAATGTTTAGATATCAATACCCAACTAAGGGATAGGGTAAAGCTGTCTCTTTTTGTTTTATCCGTTCGATGAATCTGATACACGATATTTTAGGCGGTCATTTGCGGCCCAACCCTTTTCTTCCCATAATAACACATGCAAAGAAACATGGACTTGAAGCTGCGATCGAACTATCTAATTTCGAGGAAGATCATATACCGGCGATTGGAGAGGTGATTCGAAAAGAAGGATTGATTGTGATTTCACGTTGACAAGGAGTTTTGAGATGCTTCTTCGAGACGACCATTGTGAGGAGATTGCAAAAGCATATAAGGAGCTCCTGGAAGTAGGAATTCCCCTCAGACAGGATGTGCAGTACACATCAAAGGATGCAGAAAGGGCCCGTTCGGAACACTCTCTTTGACAAGATGCTCAATATTTTAAACATTCTCCCCCCTTCCTCTTCCGATTGAGAAAATAAAGTATCTCAATATCTAAAAAATTTCTAACTACCTAGATATCTGGCGTCAAATTCGCTAAAGGCTGCTTCCACTACACAGCCGCACATATCTGGCCATATAAATTCGTCCTACACCTCCTCTCCACCCTAACCTCCCGTGGCTCCAGCAGCGTGAACCTGCAAACCAACACGCCCGTCACCGAAATCTCCGAAACGCCAGATCCAGTCACAGGGGCATGGACCGTAGTTACCAAATCACGGGGCTCCATCAAAGCAAAAAAAGTAATCCTCGCGACGAATGCGTATACCGCAGCTATCGCACCTCAATATGCTGACAGGATCGTCCCAATCCGAGGCATATGCAGCCGCATCGTTACCCCTGAAAAGAAGACTCCTCCTTACTTACCCAACACGTACAGTCTGCAGTGGGGGGCTGAGGAGTATGACTATTTGATTCCACGGCCAGATGGTAGTATCATTGTAGGAGGTGGAAGGAAGGACTATGTCGCCGATCTGGAGAGTTGGTATAACAATACCGATGACAGAGAGCCTATACAATCTGCCAAAAACTATTTTGACGGATATATGCAGCATAACATTATTGGGTGGGAAGATAGTGATGCTTATACAGAACAGGTGTGGTCTGGAGGTAGGTGTGAAATGAATGAGATTGAAGAATCATGGTTGTCGATCTAGCCCGCCATTGCATAAAGAAGAATGCAGATTGGATTACACACATCCTAAATGCATAAGTTATTTATACTCTTTGCTGACGTGATGGAACGAATAGTAATGGGCTTCTCTACCGATCTCCTCCCGCACGTGGGACCCATACCAGGCAAACCAAATCAGTATATCTTAGCCGGTTTCAGTGGTCACGGCATGCCCATGGCGTTCCTTACTGCGAAGGGAATCGCCAAGATGATCCGTAATGATGAAGAGAGTGGAGACTTGCCGTTTGAAAAGACGGGAATTCCACGATTGTACAAGACGACTCGGGAGAGATTGGAGTGTGATCGGAATGATATATTGGCGGTGAAGTTTGGGGTTGACAAGGTTAAGGCGGGAGGCAAAGTGTGGATTTGAAGTGGGACGAAGAGCATGCGTGCGGGGGTTTATCTGTTGAGAGATACCCAATATATATATTAAAAACAGAAATACACAACTGAATATGAGAGAAGGGTAAGCAGATGAAGGAGTTGTCCGTAATATAAATCAACTCCACAGCATATCCGAAGTAACATTTAACAGTGCTCCAATTTTGTCTCCTAGGCTGTGAGTAACATTCTCCCGTTGCAAAACTAAGAAGTGATGCCAGATGCACAATGGTAACTGCATTTATGGAGAATACCACAGTTGGGCTGATGGGACTTTATCTGCCATGCTGAGATGCGTGGCACTTAGGGTAATTCCAACAAGGCAGAAAACGAGCCCCCAGCTGACTCAGCTTGACAATATGATCAAGTGGATGGTAGTATATATTCGGGTTATTATCAGCTCTTCGGCTTCGGATTCTGTGGAGGGACCTGATTCCTTATTGCCTCAGCTGTTCTCCGTCGAGGCAGCAGCTGAATAGGCTGTTTCTGCAGTCGAATATTTCGCGTCATGTTGGAAATTAATGTGCTCATCGATATCATCGCTGGAGTCGTTATTTTGAACGGAAAGTTTGCTATGGAGAAAATAGGATTGTGATTGAGATTACTGCCTGGCTTCGGATTCAGGGAGTCCTCATTAGCGTGAGACGTAATAATCGAGGATCGTCGTAGCGGTAACGGGTGCGGGAGATTCTATGACACGCTAAAGCAAAGATGGTCAAAGCACCGATGGTTTGAAAAGAGATAGAGCAGACAAGGAAACTGTTAGTTCAATAAATCCAGGGGTAGAAAGGGGGAAAAGATGTCAAGGGATATTTATGTCCACGGTGGTTTGAGGTTGAAGTTGAAGGGATTGAGTGTGTATGACGCGGTAAGCCGAGCCGAGCCAAGCGAATGTGGTTAGTTAATTACTGATGGAGCGATATATCTTCAATTAATATGCACTTTCGGTCGCTGGTTAGAGAAGGCAAACACAGCAGTGATATTTTTGGTTGCTTCCTGGATTCCATGAACTTACCAGACCTGTGTGAAGTAAAACTACTCCACAGCGTTTCTCCTCCCCTTGTTACTCCGTGGCAATGATTTTGGGGCCCATTATTGTGGGACAAGGCAGCGGGAGTGCTGAACACCATCTCCCAGTCCCATTTTTCCCTTTTCCCTTGGGGGTGAAGGCTGTCACAAATATGAAGTAGGTGGATTCTGAATCTTAGGCTGTGATACCTAAATACCTGGGAATTCAACTGGAATAAGGTTAAAATTCTAGTTAAATGTGGATTAACTCCTATATTTCTCTTTATGCACACATATGCCAGCAAGACGGTGATCACTGATTGGATGACATGTGCAAACAGAGGGCATTCTTGTGTAGCTGTTCGGAGAGAACTCTCTACAGGAAAAGAACTGGAGAATCTATAGAAATCTGACATTTTCTCACGAAGCTGAGTAACTTTGGGCTAGACAGCCCCATAACAGTAACTAGTTACTTGTAAACATAGAGCTTGCACGGGCGGGCGTTTAGGGGCGTTAAGGGACTCTTGGGGCGTTGAGCCCTTGAGTGGTTGGCATTGACTGAGGACCGGCAAAGCTCAGGTGGGCGAGTTACGCAGTTAACGCACGAAAGCGGAACGGCGGGATTCGAGAAACGGCATTCTCAGATAAATATCCAAGGTATGTAATACTACCCAGGTGGAGAACATTTCCAACAGTATACAAACATGCACAATCCTTGAATTCCCTATATCAAACATGCAACTTTTCCGTACCACTCTAGGAATCCTGTATCTCGATGGTCGCTTTCTACTATGTGTGTTTCAGGCAAGTTTAAAAAAAAACAAAGTTTTCATTCTCATTCCGTTTCATGTTTCATCATGCTTTCGGCAAAGGCTTCCTTCCATTCTTCACCCTCCAAATCTGCGGAAATTGAGTACAGTTAACTATAATCCAGGACTCCTAAATGACTGGTATCATAACATAATCTACATTTTGCCCATTTTCAGCGGAGACTTGCGTTGATTAGTCCTGTTTCCACATCCCCCATTTTACCCAGCACATGAGATAGACGACTCTGTGCGCCGTGCTTGTACATAAATTATCCGAGTGCTACGATGGTGCGGATAAGGGTGATACATAGTATCCGTGGACCGGATATCGATCTTTTGTAACCTGTCGCGGGGCGACCCTGTCCACCCACAGGTTGGCCTCAACTCAGCTATCCATTGCCGCGTCCCATAAAAGCGCATCTCGTGGATTCATGGATTTCACCTTCCAGGATACCCGGGTTTGACTGAACATCTCTTCTGCGCTGCGCGTTTCTATTCGCTTTGCTTGTCAAGCCTTCTAGGCCGTCTAAACACTGAGACATATTTGCGCCCCAGCATGTGACTTCTCTGGTTGTTCTTTCATGGGTCCTTCAGCTGTTCTACAGTTCCGAAGTACGGGGTGGTTAACTATAAGAGGCTAGTTATTAGTTTAGCGGTGCGTATGCAAGTAATTTGGGAACCCGAGGGGAGAGAAATCTCCAGCGCGGAACTAGGAGAAAACCCGATCTGACGCCACTGAAATCGTGACGTCTTAATTCTCGCTGATTGAAAATGATCCTCCAGCTGAGACGTATTAAAAAATAAAAATAAAAAATAAAAAACAAGGGTTATGTATTCCACGCTGAGCTTCAAACACATTTTTTAATCGCTATTGTCTCTCGCTTCGCCGGTTTTTCCAACTCATCGATTCTTCCAGTTCTCCACCAGCCCAGATATCCCATATCTGCCGCACCCGCCAGAAGTTGAACGAGGCCCTTCTGCGGGGCTATATGTTCGCTCCTTCGCACGTTTTGAGATCGTAGTGTGGATCCTTTTTCTTCTTATTTTTCTTCTTCTTTCTCTTCTGGTATCCTGGCTTCTTCAGCACGCATACCAACCTCCCCAGAATTTCTGTGTTGATCACTGCATGCATGGCATATATCATCATTCTTGTTATTGTTTAGTTTTGATCAGAACTTCAGAGCTTTTCAGATCATCATCTTTGATTTGGGTAGACGGAAGCTGTATTTCATGATATTCTATTCTTCACTTCTTCTTTTTTATTCATATTGTTTGATTTGTTTTGTTTCTTCTGACAGAGAAAGTGACTATGAAAGAGAGTCATTAATCAATTTTGTCAGTGATTTCAATTCTCATCTTTTATGATTGTTTTCTTCTTATGTCATAACCATCATCTTTAACTATTCACTGATCTATTACTTTGTAAGCAGTTTGTTTTGAATTTTCTCACTTTGTTTATCTCATTGTTTTCATTTGTATCTTAAGTCATTCTGGTTTGTCCTCAAGCAACCGTGCGTCACGCGACCCTACCCAACCCAAACCAGTTGGTAGTGCGCAGGTTCAAGACCTCGAATCCATTCTCCCCCTGAGAACCCTTGACAGCTTCCCAGTCACTCGCATATGTACAGCTTGGGGTGATCTCTGCGTTCTATTGTAGTGGATTGAGGATTGAGGGTGAGAAAGTCACTCTGCCACGTCCATCAGAACTCACCACTGGGCCGCCGATCTTGATAACATTTGCATTTCAAGGAGTGCAATACGTGACTGTGAATCTTATGAAGTCGGAACCATGCCTGGTTTGGTATGCGAGCAAGACCATACGGAGCCCTTGGAGTACCTCCATATGGTCGAGCCACCATCAGCAGTCACAGATTATAAGGTGAGTCGAAATAGGCTTCTTGCAGCGTGACAAGCTGCACAGGCTTCAAGCATTTGTATTCCAGAAAAAACCTCAAAAGAAGAACAGAATCTTGAAATTGCAATCCTGTTTTGAAGTATAATCTTCAACTATCTACTGGGAGGGCTAGCAGGCTCAAAAATGGATGCTGACCACCAAAATTAGGACATACACCTTGAAGCCCCCGAGGCTAACACTGCTGAAGCGAGCAAATCTCCACAGGAGTCAACACACCCTGCCAAGGCAGCCACTAAACTCTCCCAATTAGACGGAAGGTCTGAAATCTGCGTTTCGCCGTCATGGGCAACAGACAAGGAGAGAAGAGAAAAGAAGAGGGAGTTAAAAAGACTGGCCAGGGAAAAGAAAGAGTTGGAACGGTTTTTGAAACTTGAATCAAGGAATACTGATCAAGGCTCGGTCAGAGAGCCTCGACGTTTAACAAAGAAGCCACCATCCAATACGCCCAGTCGATCCTCGAGCATAAGGAGCTATCTTCCACGCTCCTCTACGGCTCCGTCAGTTTTGGGATTTTGGTCCAATAGCGCATCAAAAGCTAATTCCATAAACGAACCTGACAATGGCCATTCAGCACCTCCACCGACAGGTGCCGAGCCAGTGCGTACTTCATTGGAAACCATGAAGCCCATATTTACAGGTCACTGGCCATATCGTTTTGGAGTGAAGACGACCCAGGTTGTAGCAAATAATAATGATCCCTCCGGTGACTTAAATTCTGTCCCTCCACAATCCACGCCTTCGAATCCGTCAGATATTCCAGGCCGTCAACTCCACGCAACCAAAAAGCATGCGGATTTACGCGCTGCTGCAAACTTCTTTCGACTCAATGGTCCTGGCTCCCCACCAATCGAATCAGCGCCTACTAAGACATCTTGGAGTAAGGGAGTTAATCGTCAACTGTCAGCTGGGGGCGGAAAGAAGCTTCGACGCAAATCTCTCAAAGCAGAACACGAACCACACATGTATTCTTTGCGTCGAGGTCCTTCTGATACGAACGGGAACGACACGAAATCATCCGGACAACCTGAGAATAGCACACCTTCCACAACTGAAGGTGATCCATCTCTGACTGCGTTGGAATGCCTATCTCCAAGTTTGCAAAATGCTTCACAAAGTACCGTTCTTAAGTCTGCTGAGAGCATTAATACATTGAAAGATATTACCAACCAACAGAACAGTGAAGCAAGTTTAACAAAGAACGCCCCAAAAGATGCGGTCAAAAAACCCACTTCAAAACCCCCTTCAAGACCTCAAAAGGCTATAAAAAACAGCGCTGGGAATCACCTTGGACACGGACGAATGTCATCATGGAGTGAAATATTTAAAAGTTCTAATCGTGGTTCTAGTGTCACTCTCAAATGTCGTGTTCAATCTTTGGAGCCATCCCAGAAAATGCCGAACGCAGAAGTATCCGAATTTAAAACTAGTGGACCATATGAATCTACCTATTCCATTGACGATATTTTCGCAAGCCCTATTTTCAAGCTAACCAATCCGATCAAACAGGAGAATGGTCATGTCACCACCGAAACTAAAAATGTTGTTAATGATTTGGCGCAGGTGCAGCCGCAGCCGCAGCCGCAGCCGCAGCCGCAGCCGCAAACTGACTCCAACCAAGATATTACACAAGCGAAACTTTCTCCCGAGCATACTCTAATCCAGGAGACAACAACAGTCACCAACAGCCCGTCTCTGGAGCCGTCGGTCAACCCTCCAAATATCAGACGACCTGAGAATACTATACGATTGGTATCCAAACCACTAAATTGTGATTCCCTATTCAAGTCATCCCCGCTAGCTTCTCCGCCTCTCAATACCCGGGAAGATGAGGTATCTGCTCAATCAGGACAATTACCTAAGTGCGAAAGTTTTCCATCTGTTATATCACCTGTTGCTGCTCCTCAGCAGTTAGAGATTTCAAACGGTAAATCTCTTCTTTTTTTCACAAGGCTGTTAGGACATACCAGCAAAAAGGATAAAACCCCAGGTGTCTTTGACTCTCATAGCACAAAGAAGCCAGGAAAGGCGGTAACTTCTGATAAAGGGAAAGAAAAGTCGGCGCCAACGACTGCATCAACAGAGTCGCCAAAACCGAAAGACGAGGATGTCAAGGCTGCTGCCAAGTCTCCAAACTCCGTGGATGATATGCCACCCGCAAATGCAGACATCTGCCATAACAAATCTGTCTCCCTGTTGGAAAACCCCACGAATAATTATTTCCAAATTCCACCAAAATCCTCTAAGCGCAATAATGAAAGATTCCCTACCAGTTCTCAACGAAAATTCACTAGTTCCGTAGAACTCCCTAGTACTACCAGTGATGGAATCGAAACCCGGCCCCAAAAGAAGCACTCCATTTCCATAGAAATACCCAAAAGCCAACTGCCTCTTGATTCACGTACAGTGAGATACAATAGCAGTAGGACCTCCTCCAGCCAACCCTCCCCTGCACTGTCAAGCAGAAAATCTACACCGACAATCTCCCAACTCCACACCTCAAAGCACCCGAAAATAAACCCAATGGCACCCAGTGATTTCCCTTCCTTCACAGCCCTCGAAAACCAAACACAAACGACAACGGGACCAATATATGACGCCCGCCTGGGTTCATCCAGTCGACAAAGCCTTGCCAGCAGTGTTGGGGGCAGTCGAGCTGCAGCTCAACGCCCCGCGCGGAAGGGAACACCCGTCGCAAAAATGTTCGTGATCTGCTGCCAGTGCAAATATTGGCACGACATGCCTTCGGACGTATATGCCAAACTTGCTTTCCCCCACGGCGTACCCGCCACCGATCCCCTTTTTGGCGATGATCAATACAGCTCCCGTTACCAGCAGCAGGTTCCTATGGCAAGCGGTGCATTATCTGCTCAAGGTGGTGGCAGTAGCAGCACCATTACCGAAACGAGCTCAGGAGCTTCCAATAACAATATTGCGATGGATAATAAATCGCTACGTGGCTCTCGGCCGTCATCTTCCAGCTCTTCCTCTTCCAATAATTTCACGGTGACGTGCTGTTGGTGTGCACATCGGATGGTTAAGATTTGTTGTGCGGGTTGGACTACTATTGTCTATCTCCATGAGCGGCACCACTGAATGGACAATGAGGGTTGAAGAACTTTTTATGTTGATAATCTTGAGCATTTGGGAAATGTTCGGTGGTAGGATACGCCCATTTGGGAGTGGTCTAGAAGCAGGCCTGGCACATCTGGTATATCTGGGAAATATTTCATCGATGTTTACGTGGATTATATTCTAGTTCTAGGACTGCGGAGGTTCTCTAGCTAACCGTTACGTGATACTTTCCTCCCTAATTTCTCTTCACCTTCGTTACATTTTTCAAATTTTGTATTTTGTATCCTTTTTTTTTTTGGAATTGAGCAACTCGGGCTCTTAGGGCGTGGCGTTTTGAAGCAGAAGTTCTACATTGATCATAACAAATCTCCTAATTGTGGTGAATCTCAGCGAAAGCACATGTGATTTCGGAGCACCAACAAGCCTTCCATTGAAGATTATGAAGTTTCTCCCCATTTCATTTCTTTTGGTCTTTGGTCTTCAGTCACTTGGGGGCTCAACATGGGAATTATTTACGAGCTATTTGTTAATGGGGGTGGAGGGGGTTACGGGGCCGGGTTTAGTGGGATAATTTGAAGGGGAGACTTTGCTGACATCAATTATTTCGTTCACTTGGCCCTTGAGTTTGTTTCCCCTTCGTTGTCGACGCACACGCAAAGCTTTTTGATTTGAAATTGTCTTTTCCTGCAACGGAAGTATTGCCCTTAACTGTTATTAACAGTGCGTCGGATACAGGCGCTTAAGCAAATCTCGGAGGAGTTGCTGATTTTAATGATGCTGAGGTTTATATGTAAACTATGAACAACAGGGAAGAGGAATACTGCCAGCAAATATCATCAATCAAGTGGGCAGTCTTTGTAGCCGTTTCTTTCTCATGCTGACACAGTCTTTTGAAAATTGAAAAATCAATTCATGGAATTGTACTCTGTAGCCTTCCCCCAAGGTAGTTATAACATCCAACTCCGGCTGTAACCTCAGGGAATACAAATAAACCTGCTGAAAACCCTTGGCGGAGTAATGCGCTAAACAAAAATCCTGAAGCTTAACTGAGTCTGGTTCGCGCAATAGATCGAAGCTCGTGACTGGAGTACCAGAACCTTTGATTCCCAAGGCACTCGGTAAACACGAGACGAATCCAACCGATAACGTAGCTCAGGTAACAAGTTGGTTAGTTACCGAAGATGCCCATATCAGCTAATGTGTGGAACCGGGCGCACTCGAATTCATTCAAGTTGGAGGTACAGAGTACTCTGTAACGTCGTAATCCGTGGATATTAGTTTACACCCGTTTTCACAGTAGTTACTCCAAGTAATCCAGTGTTATATCTGGCATAATTTGGTAACCGGGGGTATTCGGGCCAATTTTGTGGATGGAATAACTAGTTAATGTACGTAGTTAACTAGTTAGTTATCAAATGCTTGGAATTTCGGGTCCAACTTCGCTTTAATAGTAGATTTGATAGTTGGTTGATGATTTAACTACGCAAATATATTCGTCATTACTGTACCAATTTTATGTCTGGATGTATTATCCTCTCTCAACTTCCTCAGGTCCGTTCTCTTATCCGTTGTTCATATATGCGGCACCAGCAGGTCTGTTAGTTTCAGTCGTAGTTACAGGAGATAACTATATGTTAAAATAACTCTGTGGGAGCTTAGTTAGTCAGTTTAGATTGACAAACATTCGTCTGGAAGTTCTCGAATGCTCATGATTATTATTGCACTGAGTTTCAATATGCTCCTTCACGGCCAAATATCCGAAAATCAGATATCGTCTAGAAAGTGCCCATCAACTCTCTTCAAGCAATCAATTTTAACGTGAACCCCCGGATCATCGGACTTGTCTATTTCTCTGCAAAATCGCATTAGCTGACCCAAGGTTGTGCAGCAGTACAAGGCCAATGGGACATGGAGCACACCCTCGAGTCTGTATCAATAATTACTAATTAATATGAGATATAATGTTAATGCGCGGTGAAAGACCTTTGTGCATACTTGGAAATACGAGGTTCAAGTTAGCGAGTGAGCATTAAGGAAATATTGCAAGATAATAGTCGCCACGGTTCTGTTTTATATCTCAAGCTATAAAAAACAACTTTGCTCTATCAATCTTGGTCTGCGGTCAACTATTTTATATGTATTTGAATAAACTGTACGGAATCAAGGAGCAACAAAGTGCACCTTGAGCAATAACAAAAAGTGAATGAAAAGAAGATCACCATAAATGACGCAGCAAGTGAAGCATCCACATCGCACTTCTGCACTCCTAGGGTACGGCCAAGAATCAATTGGGACTCCGAGTTCCTCTCCAATTATTGGGCTGATCCTAATGTATTGGTCGAGATACACGTCAAACGTTGCTCAAGATCACAAATGACTTCCTACCCATGACATTACACCAAGAGAAGTATACCCAGAGCCACCAGTGCCATATTGATAGTTGGTGGTATTTTTGATTCTCCAAGCCTACTTCTGCGTCGTCAACTCTAACAAAGTCACGCACCTCCCCATACGAACGATATGCACCCCGTATACCTCGAATCGCAAGCGACTACTGGATGGTAATCTCTGGAATTGACTGTTAGACTCAATTTATTTGCTCTCTAATTATAGCATACCCAGATCTTGACAGGCCGACTCCAAACTCAAGTCAAAAATTAAGGAGTCATGCATTCCAGGTAAGAATTCTTTTCAACAAAGAGAAAAATATCACTCCAAACAACTCTTAATCTATTCAAAGCTTGGGCGGTGTCCGCACCTCAAATTCCTGAACAGGTTGGCTATCATCAGTCAAAGGAACAGGCAGCCAGCCGCGAATCGATCCATCTGTTGCAAAAATACCCGGACTGAAATTATTTTCTTTCCCGTTAGCCACATTCTGGTTCCCGGTATTATTGCCATTATTGTTGTCAACAGTGACTTCCGCTACATTTTCCAAAGCATGTATAACAGCCTCATCCAGGTCAAACGGGACAGCGCATTCTCTCAGCATTTGAATAATTGCAGTTACATTCAGTTGCATCGTTCGCTCCGGTTCCTCAGCATTGACCCATCGCTTCATTGCCCAGGGGAATAGGACACCAGCATCTGATTGACTCATATGGGCTGACTTGGCGGCATAAAAGACTCTGGGTTGTCGTCTGCTGCTGACGACAGGATCAGGTTCAGGAGATCCAGGAACCGGGCGATTCGATAATGTGAATCGAGTTGCCTTGAGGCCAGCTGCCCATTTGAAGAACTCGTCACTCATGATAGCCAGAACGTTTGCAGCCTGGTGCTGGCCCTTGGTAGAGTCGGCAGTGTAGCAGGGCAGCGGCTTCTCCCAAAGCCATTTCACATCATCCCCCAGCAGCGGAAGGTTCCAGAGATCAAGCAGAACAAGAGGTGAGGTTGGTGTAATTTGTGAAACGATCTTGCTGTCTGATTGCGGTTCGTATAAGGGTCGATACTGTGAGAAATATGGTTCTGCTGCGCTCGATACTGGGTCGATTTTACTGACACGGCCCCAATATATGGACTTGACAAATTGGACAACACTGGCTGCCCCAAATGAGTGACCGCCCCATGTAATGCTGCTTGGAGAACGGACATCCAGGCTGGAAGTGAATACTGGACCATTGGTACTGTCATCGTCGATCAGGTTTCCAATCTTTGCTCCAGCATCTAGCTTCAGAAGCGCATCGTGCACAAGGCCGAATTCCCACAGCCGGATCCTCAGCTGGTCATGTCGTCTCCGGAGGATATCTTCATCGAAAATATGTTTCATCTGTTGGAATGGGACTCTTTCAGTATTCTGTCCGCTGGAATCTCTAATAAAGGAGATGTGGCTGCTTCCGTCCCGGTGTTCTGGAGCAATGACGACCATTCCGTAGCTAGACAAACACCCCAAAAGATAGCTGTATGTATTTCTGGAGCCCCCCAGCCCGTGGGAGAAAACCATTACGGGCCAACGCTTTGACTGGAGTGTTGATGGTTTCAGGGGTGCATTTTGATGGGCTGGTATCTTCGTCCATCTAATCGTATTTGGAAGAAGCCTTATATATTTGAAAAGTTAGTAAATACCGCCAAACAGGGCTCTGCAAGTGATACAAAAGTTGGAGAATGTGAACAGAATATGACAGGGGCCGGATTGTCTCAGCATACGCTAAAATTGATGAGAGCCGCTTTGGAAAGCCTACGAACTCCCCCAATGCTCTAGTAAAGACGCTCTGCGGCTCTGGGATCCAGTAAACGGGTTTCGATGACTGTCCTACATGGTCCGCAGGGTAGAATACCCGGAATAGAATTGTAGAAAGAGGAATATCTGATTCCGGGGTAGGGGCCGGTGATTCAAGAGCTGACACGGGGATCTCAATCTCGGAAGTACCAACATTATGTGGCCCTGTGTAAGGCGGGAATGACGGAATCCGAAGCAGCGAGAGGGCCATTATGCGACATGAAGTAGGGCTTCGTAAAATAGAGCGTTGCACGTATGAAGAAGCATGTATCTATGAGAAATTACAGCTTCTATCTGGATTCTATACATGAATCTCTTGTGGTATTGTAGTTGGAATCTGATTATTTTCCCCCTCTACAGGGCCCACTAGAGAGCACAGACGACGAATTCTGTACGAAAACTTGCATCCATCTAGACAGATATCATTGATCATGCATGCCCGGTCACTTTCGCGCATAAATGATCGTGTGTCTGGGATGATGTGCCAAGGTAGCTATTTCGAGATGATATTTGTCCAATAGATCAAGGTTTCGAGGCGCAGACCGGATGAACGATAGTGATCGTATGTATCCCTTAGAGGATTGTTTGGGAATCCAAATTCCAAGTTCAATACGCAAACTTGTTAATATTTAAAGAAAAGTACTGAAAATTTTGTTCTTAACGGTTCCTGGCATAAAAAAAGCCTGAGTATGACCCTGTGAGGCTAGCCGGGAGCTGCGCCTCACCGTCGCAGATCATCCCCACCAGCCACAACGATGTCAGCGAGCCCAATCTCCAACTCCAAGACTCCCAACAAGCTTCTTACAACCAGACATACTCAACACCCCATTCCCTTTATAGCCATTCCCTCCTCCAGCCATACTGTTGTCTTTTTCTTACAGACAGGGACGCCATGGCGCGTCACAGACGGCTGTCTAATGCCTCGTCTTCTTCTTCTCTCCCAGAGCGAAACCAGGTAAGTAGAGACTCTCCCGCGGAACCTCGGAGATCCCGACCTATCATAACCCGCAACAGATGCTAATCATGCGCTGGAACCATTCCAGGAGCTTGATAGCATGTACGATTATTTAGCAAAGGTCATTCTGCTTGGACCAAGTGGTGCCGGAAAGTTTGTACCCCCGTTTGATCATATCTCGCTGGACATGCAATATATCTGGAGAGATCCACCACCAAATCACGATATCTATACATCCCCATATTTCGACCAACCGACAGCAGAGTTGCTGACGTATCGCATTCATATATCAGATCCTGTCTACTCCATCGCTTTGTGAAAAACGAATGTATGAGTCCCCTTCCCCGTGCAACTCTTTTAAACACCTTTCACTTTTATATGCCTACATACTAGCAATAGTAACACCAATTTACAGGGCGTGTCCTTTCCTCGCAAACAATCGGAGTTGAATTTTCCTCCAAAATCGTAAAGATAGGCACAGGTTCACGGTGGAAACGGATAAAACTCCAACTATGGGACACAGCAGGCACTGAGCGGTTCCGCTCCGTTTCACGCTCCTACTACCGTGGCGCTGCCGGCGCAATCCTGATATACGACGTTGGGTCATATGCTTCCTTTACCGCACTCCCCACATTCCTCATGGACGCTAGAGCTCTTGCGTCCCCAAATTTAACAGTCCTCCTAGCCGGCAACAAAAGTGATCTATTGTCGTATGACAACTTGTCCCAAAACATAGACTACAGCGATGACTTCCACCGATTTCCCCCAACACCATCAAGCACATCGAGCAAACAGACTACCTTCGCTTTTGATTCAGGTGGCGGATCGATACGATCAATAAACGGCCCGCCGGTAGGCACCAGGATGACTGCAACGGTATCCTCGGATGGGTGCGGGGTGACGCTAGAAGAAGCGTCACGATGGGCAGCGAAATCCAATATACCAGTTGCAGTTGAGGTGTCCGCATTTTCTGGAGAAAACGTGGACGAACTTTTTAACCGGCTGGCACGTATTATCCTGACGAAAATCGAGCTGGGCGAGATAGACCCGGATGATCCTCAGAGTGGTATTCAATATGGGGATGGGGGCATGTATGGTACTGGAGCGAGTGATGGGGGCAGCGTGCGTAGCGGGATCACGATCGATGACTCTATGGCGCAAATGCGGAGGAGGAAGCCTCGTGGTCGAGGACCGGGAAGTGGATGGGCTTCGGGTATGAGGGAGTGGGAAGATGTATTTAGGCTGGGAGGTTCGAATACGCAAAGGGGTAGGTGCTGCTAACATCCTACCCCTTTCTGGTCCAATTCCCATGCTGGAGGACGGACATTGTCCATCCAAATATCAGATGATGAAGGGCACAGCTAGATGGTTGATGCTCGCGCCGCGTCTCTCTGCATTTCCTCCTCCAACTCCCCTCCCTCCTTTATACCGGTTTTACGTTCCACCTCCAAGCCAAGCTTCGCTGTCCGACATGGATCCGGATATCTTGCCTCCGATCTCCCCAGTGGATCCACAAAGTATTTCTCAGATCCCTCTACTTTTACATCGCTGTACATAGTGCATTCCACCTTTCCATACCGCACGATATCCCCAGACCCTTGAATATTGGATATTTGCAACGGCCGTTCGTTCCATCCAATTCATGACTTAGCATCCGCCCTGGTCCAGGGATTTACCTATGCTCATCTCTTTTCCAGCTAGTTTCATCATCGAAACTGTTTTTGCATTGCCACCATAATTGTGATGCAATGCTTGTTGCCATTATCTATTCTGTGGATCTGGGGGGTAGTATTCAGTCCATTCTCTTCCATAAATTCATTGAACTGCATCTCCTGCATTTCCCATTTCTCCCATACCCTGCCTGTCTTTTCTTTTCTTTTTTTCTTTTTTTTTTCATTTTCTTTTCATTTTTTTTCCAGCCCAATAATCACGTCTCATGAGATCCCGTACGTGTACATGAGCAACATCTATTTAATCAATTATTTCCTGCTAGGGTTTGGGTGAGAAGATAATGTGTAGTTCTTTTTTTACAGTTACTAGTTTCAATATCTCATCTCCTACACATGTGACGAGCAAATAGACCGAATTGCAAATGACCAGAACATATGCATCATTTACCCATCAAATCCAATGAATAAATAAACACTACAGAAGCAGACAAGAGAACTTTTGGAAATAGTGGACATAGGGGTATTAAACAAAACAGAACCGAACCGCGATTCAATAGCCCCGCTAGAAAATATGTTCATCCCTCCACCCCCCGAATAAGCGTTTTAATCCCCTTTCCCCCCTTAACATCCACAAGGGCCCTCTCTGCGTCCTCAAATGCCACCGTCTCCGTCACCAATGACTTAACGTCCACTTTCCCCTCCGCCACAAGCGTCAGCGCCAACTTGTAATCCCCACTGCCGTACCGAAAACTGCCCCGAACATCCAGTTCTTTCGTGCAAGCCGCCATAATCGGGAACGAAATAACATCCTTCCCCATACCACCTTGCACATACGTTCCACCCGCTCTTAGAACGTGGATACCAGTATTCACTGATGCCTCCGCACCTGACGCATCAATGACTACATCCGCCCCACGTCCTAGTCCATGCTGTTCCAGCAACTCCTCCGCATTTTGCTCCGCACTCGCATCCTTCGCAGGCGTATAGGTACCTGTAGCCGCATATTTTGCGGCAAACTCCAACCGTGCCGGCTGGATATCAACAGCGATGATCTTCGAGGCACCAAACGCTCTGGAAACAGCACAGCACAGCAACCCCACAGGTCCCACCCCGAAAACAACTACAGAATCACCAGGTTTCACACGCCCCTGCTTCGTAATATGCACAGCAACACCAAGTGGCTCCATCAGCGCGCCCTCATCCAATCCGACATTCTCTGGCAACTCATAGCAGAAGTCTTCTGGTAGGACGTAGTACTTGGCCAGCGTACCGTCAATGGGCGGCGTGGCGGCGAAGGCCATGTGTATGCATAAATTGTACTTACCGCTGAGGCAGGGTTCGCAGTGGCGGCAGGGGATTCCCGGTTCGAGAGCCACGCGGTCTCCGGGTTTTAAGGTGGTGACGGCGGAACCAACGGAGGTGACGATGCCGCTTGATTCATGGCCCAGGACCATGGGGGAGGTGACTTTGTATGGACCAATGGAGCCATGTTCCCAATAGTGCACCTGTCTGGAGTTAGTGCTTTTTATTTCTGTGTTTTGGAAGGAAACCTTTTTGGGCCTTTGGTGTAAGACATTAGTACGTACATCGCTGCCACAGATACCAGTAAATTTAACGTTGATTCGGACGTAGTGGGGATCTGTAATTGTTGGGATGGGTCTGTCTTCGTAGGAGACTTTCTTCACTCCTTCGAGAATGAAGGAGAGGTTCTGAACGTACTATCAATTAGTATGAACCTTTGATAGTGGAAAGAGAATTAATTGGATTTTTGAAGATAAAAAGAAAAGAAAAGAAGAAGAAGAGAAAAGAGAAAAGGTTCAATGGAGCTGCATTGAAATCTTGATATGCAACGCACCTTTGGCCCTTCCGTAGCCATGACGTAAGATAAGTTGGGCCTTTCTTCAGGCTTATTTTATCTACTGCTATTAACAGCTTCTTTGTCTTCAACGTCAGCAGTCCCGGGGAAAGACAATTAAAAGCTAGATGCGCAAGATATGGGGCCTACTGTGCACATAATATTTAATATATTAGAGGCGATGAGCAGAAGTGTTTGTTAATCCTATATGGGGTGTTGTATCTGTCGGAATCCTGGTCTGGGTGGGGAAGACGGGAAGGATTGGGGAAGTTAGCGGACACAAGGTTGGTTAACAGTTCAGAGGTTTGTTATCCATGGAACCATCCCATTTATATTTTGCTCTTTATTGGACTCTCTCCTCATGGGCCGTAAGGCAAATAGCTAACCGTACCCAAGTATATTCTATCTTATGCTGGTGATATCATCGAGACTTTCCAACCATATCCCAAATGTCGTTATGAGCTTGACATAAACCGAATGCAGAGGAATACGCGAATAAGAACTCCGTGAGCTTTGTAAGGTGGTTACGTTACTGCACAGCCGGTGATTGGCCAATGAAAGACTTCGTTCCTGTGAATTACAGGTTGACATCATCCAAAGCATCCAGGGAGGAGTGAGGGCTTGTGCTCCAGCGGAATTTGAGAGTTATTTTGGAGGAAGATACAAGACAAACAAAGAAAGTATCCGGGCTTTGAGAATTGCTTAGGCAGGTTGGGAAAATATGTAGAATACCATGCATCATTTCTTGTTACTTGGGAATGAATGAACGAGGAAAAGAATAAAGACTTCCCAAACCCTCATGCTCTGCAGACAGTTTCATAATCCCTACATATTGTAAGATATCAATGACGGATCAAGCCGGATTCCTCTGCACCATCCGCAACGCACCCATCTCGTTGTCATCTTAAACGCTACTAATCCTTCCCCAAGTGCCTCACAGAGCAAATCTTACCAGGGCCCTTAGTATGAATATACACTGTCTCCTCAGGAACCAAATCCATAAAATTGTCGTCAAACACCTTCCGATCATCATCCGCATACAACACAACGCCCTTAATGGGCACCTCCGCGGACAACTCCAGCAGATTAGGCTCAGCTGACTGAATAAGCTTGAGGTCCCTGTGTTGTAAGGGAACATATTTCAACGGCTCGGGCCAATTAACATAGCGCGCAATCTGCTTGCCATCATCGAAAAGGTATGCCGCAACAACAGTGCGCGGTGCTTTATCTTTCCAACCTTCACTACCTTCGCCGCTACTCTCGACGGGCAACTCAAACTCGATAATCTCAGTGCTCCTGTTCTGCTCCAGGACAACGCAATCCGGAAGTTCCTGAAAATAAGTCCGTTGGGCAGTGACGACGTCCCACCCCTTAATCAGAACGCTTACATTTTTCGTCTCCAGTGTAAAATTAGTTGCCCACATCTCTATCTTGTGCGTTGTCTTGTAATAAGCGTGCGTATATTTGTCCACGTATTCTGTGTGGGTTGTCCGCTTTAGTCCGATGGTGATAGGATTCATTTCTCGCTTCACGGCATAGTAGGCGAGTTTAGGCCGCAGGTGATAGTCCACAATCGACCAAGAAGTCCCAGGCCAGCAGTCGTTGATTTGCCAGAGCAAGGCGCCAGCGCAGTATTCGCGGCCAGGGCCCTTCCATTGCCGTTTCCAAAGCCTGAATGCGCTGGCGAGGCATTCTGCTTGCATGAGCTGTGTGCAGTACACGTAGCGCTCAAAAGGATCCGTTGTGTATTTTACATTCTCAGCTAGGTAGAGTGCCATGCGCCTTTCGTGGCCTGCAGCTTTGTTGTGGAACTCAACGGTGGACGATTGGGGGTATCGGTCGGGATTGTCTATCCCTTCCAATAAGTAGCCATCAATCGTTTCCATTGCAGGAAAAGCTTGCATGCCAAATTCGGACACGAAGCGGCCGGAGAGTTTGTCGAAGTTTTGATATTTCTCCTGGGTGCCGTGCCATACTTCATAATATGATTCGATAAGATTAGCATCCGGAAAGACTGCGAGGTAAGTAATAAATAGGTACACTTACCATTCCACTGGTGGATATCTCCTATTGTAGGATCTTTGGTGGTATTTCCGCCCCAAGGAGAGCCGAAATGATAATACGTATCTGGTATCAACTCCTTGGTCACGTCCACTAGAATCTTTTCGTAAATATATCGCGCTGGGAAGGAGGATTTCAGCCAGTTGTTTGGATTGATGTCCTTCGGGTCGTATTCCAGATTCTCACTCTCCGCATACTGATAGTCTTCATTATTCCCAGCCCATATAACAATGGAAGGGTGGTGTCTGAGAATCTTGACATTTGCAACGGCCTCTCGCTTCACGTTTTCGAGGAAGCTTGGGAATGCTGGATAGTTCCCACAGCTGAAAAGGAAGTCCTGCCAAACCAACAGACCCAGCTCATCACAAGCATCGTAAAACACTTGTTCTTCAAATATACCACCTCCCCAGACTCTGGCCATCACTTGATTGCCATTAACCATCAGCTTCACCCAGTCTCGATATTTCTGAGGTGAGATCCGAGGGATAAAATTATCTGCAGGGATCCAATTGCTCCCTCCACAGAAAACTGGAATATTGTTAATCTCAAAGAAAAAGGACGTCCCTTCGGCATCATCTAGCTTCCTCTGAACCAGCTCAGCTCTCCTCAGGCCAAAACGCTGGCTGGCAGAATCCACCTCCACGCCATTGGACGACAACAAGCTCGCGGAGAGTGTATACAGCGGCTGTTTCCCATAACGAGATGGATACCAAAGCTGGGGATTGTGGACGTTTAAGGTTGCAGTTGCGACGCCATATTCCACCTCAGTCGTTTCTGAACAAATCTCTTTGCCGTCCAGAAGGAACTTAAAAATCACCTTCTCCGCATCACCTTCTACCTCAGCTGTTGCAGCCAATATGGCATGTTTCAGAGATTTTTCGACATTCTGCCTTACATGGAGATCCGATATTCGAGCATTGTAGATTTCGAGATTTATAGGCCGCCATGGTCCACAGGTCATTAGAGTTGGACCCCAGTCCCAGCTCTGTATTTACAAAGGGAAAAGAGATAGATATCTCGTCAACTAGGAGGCTCAGTGAGCTGGAATTGGAAAAGATATTGGAAGCCTACATAGTGATACTGTGCCTTCCGCACGGCAAGGCGACTGGGGTCTCCATTCCAACTGCCCCAGAAATGTTTCGGATACTGCTCCTGGATTTTCTTTCCGATCAAAAATGTGCTGGAGAATGTGATATGCAACACATTTGGACCAGTTGATTTGCGCAGCAGTTCAGTGACATCAACGCGCTCAGGAACAAACATGTTTTCCGTTTCTAGGATTTTCGTATCATTCAGAAGTACTGTGGCATACGTATCGAGACCGTCGAAGGCCAGTACTGCTTTTTGGCCATCACCAATCGTGGGGGTATCAAAGGAAGTCTTGTATATCCAGGACTTTTCTCCAACCCACTGCACATGGAGCTCGTTCTTGCCAATGAAGGGATCGGGGATGAGACCATGGTGCATCAGATCCAGATGGACGTTTGTGGGAAATTGGGAGACGGATAGGAACTGAGCCTCTTGATCATCCGCTTGCTTAAAGACCCAGCCCTGGTCGAGGGGAATAACGCTCCGTTCGATGATTTCGACCTACAGTTATTGAGAATGGGATATTATGAGAACCTTGTAGCTGGGGGACTCAGATGTGTGACTATTTAGACAAAAAATGAGAACGGGGAAGGGTACTATTGTAGGATATGTGCATGTGCTCATGTGTGAAGAAAGTCATGAATGCCTACCAGTGATCGAGGGGAGCCGACTGCTCGCCTACGAAGAGCAAACCGCATTGATGCTTTAGGGGGTAAGCGAGTGAAAGTACAAACAGGACTTATTTGCTGCGAACTCCCTGTCTGGTCACTGTATATAATAACTACCTGGCGTTGCAACAGGAGTAATGTTTGTACCTGTTGATACTGCGAATTGGCATTCTGCCGATCCCGAAGTTGTTTTGTGGTTGGATTGAACAAGGAACTTTTTCTGGTTCAAGCAAAGTCGTTTTAAGCCCCGTTCCCCGACACGTGACGCCAAAGATATGCTTCTTTTACCTCATAATAGAACAACCCTGCCTTCCTCACGCATATGTCGCACATATCTCACGCATATCTCGCGCATATCTCGCCCGCTGTGAACGTCGCCATGTCCCACGAATTTCTTGGAGTGTTTCTCTTCTCTGGGCTTCACTTGAGGAGAGTGACACTGTCTCCACTCTTTCCGCTCATCTTGCTTGCACAGCTTCATTTCAATCTCTCTGTATTAGTCATTCCATACCTCTATAGTCTCTGCTTCCTCCTGCTATACAGACAACATGTTTTCCTGATGGACTTGCCACTGGAAGACCTGCACAGACGCTCCAAGGAGAGTTGACATGACCCGAAGAACATAGGTAAGGAGCTCACCCCAGATGAATATCATGCAAGATACCATCAGATTGGCTCAATTCCAGGTCATAGGCAAGAACTATGCTGATGTCACAACTATTACCATCAATCATGTTCAGTGCTTCTGAGATCAGTAAAGTCTCATGCAGATCAGATGCCTGATAAAATTTGCTTACATCTCTTGTAAAGCTACTTGTACATTTATAAATTACTATTAATATAGTTGATAGTAAGTGTAATTATTAGCATCTTCGCACTTTATCAACAGTATTTAATACCCAACAACCACAAATGGAATGGTCAGCTTGGGAAACGATTTTTGCGTCAACGTTGCATTGTAGCAAACATTCCAGTCCAAACGAATGGGACTCCGGAAATGGCACCAGAAAGCAAGGTCGAACTCATTACGACTTCTAATGACTCTGAAAGAATGCCCCTCCCTGCTCCCAACCCCATCCAACCTGAGATCGCTTCTGTCCCTGGCTGCAGATGTAGATAACCAGAATCATCAGCCCAAGCATTCACGCAGCCCTTTACGCGAGAAAGGGAGTTTAGAGGAAGTTCTTCCTATTGACTGAACCCCAGCCGCACCCTGATCCACCTGACCGATCAGTCAGGGCTAGGTGGGAGCTGTTAGGGATCAGATGACCCCTATAGGATTGTACTCGTCCTTTTGTCCGGTATAGACGTCCAACAAGGAGTAAACTTGCAGACGGGCTGTTTAACCCATTCTCGACGTTAGATGGATCATGTGATGTGCTAATCCCTTTAAAGACAAGGCCCACTTGCTGGTTGCTTCAAAAATAATGAAGTCGGCATACCACATAGAGAATAATCCAAATGATAATAATTAATTCCTGTAAGGGTTGTGTTGGTATTTTGCACTATTTCTACCTTCTTGGCCGCTTCAATACATGCATCTGCTGAGTGAAGGAAGCATTTGGTGTAACTACTGCTGAGGCAGAAGTCAATCATCAGTGCAGAGACTAACAATTGTTGGTCCCTCCTGAGCAGCTGATTTGAAGGCTATATACAATATCTTCAGCGATGATATTGTCATGGCATTGAGAAATCCTATATGGCTACTTGAAGTGATATGTCAAACACTTCAGACAACAGAATGTGTTGGAATGAAACTTCCTAAGCAGAATTATCAGCACGCGATTATTTCACTGGAAGTTCATCTTACCGAAGACTGGTCAAGACTCTATTTCTGTCAACATGAAAGAGAGTAACTTTCTGTAGCCTCACTCTCCTCCACAGAGGTATGTGACCAAAAAAGTATCCTGCCTGTCACAGCGCCAGGATACCAGGACAGCTTGACTTCTGAACATGCGTGCATGTCTAAAGTTGTATCTCTGGATTATATTTTCATGCTTATTTTGCGAAAAGTAGAAGACAGCATATTATTTCAAGAGGCGTCAGTTTCAGTGATTCCTCCCATCTTCAGCCCTTCATGTGATCAATGCAATTGCGGAGAGTCAGTTGCGGGAATCTCATTTGACTCTGAGGCTTGTCTCTTGATATTCCTGAAGCCCACCTTAGGACTAGAGGGTATGTTAGCTCAAGTAAGTGCAACGCCTCTTCGTCCGTTGTCTTAATTAACACCAGCAGCCGCACAGGACAACTGTTTTTATATTCAAGTGATGCGGTTTTGTGCAGCACAAATATTACACCTTATTTCCACAGCACACCTCAAGCTCATCAATGAGCATGTCCCATAATGTGATGTGCGAAGAAACCGTCTTGTTAGCTGGCTTTGTTACGGCACCTCTGGGTTGTTCTTGTACCATCTGTCACGATGCAGATTAAGAGCGAAAGCTCGTGACAGGCGTGGAGGAAGTGTGGCAACATTGTAGGCTCCGAATTTGCTTCCGCTTCTTCGCGACGTCACAGCTCCTCCTGGTGAAGTTGACTCTCAATTTCCACCAGCGCTATCAAGCTTGCCTCCGCTTCTTCGTGTCGTTGCTGCTCCACCTGGAGAAAATTGTGTCTTTCTTTTTCCGCCTGCGCTTCGGCAATTCCTCGCAATGTTCTCTCTCTTCTAAGTTCAGCCTAGCTCTTGTGCTCAGCTCTGATAGCTGGAGGTGCAGTTCCTGCCAGCTCACAGTGCTGTGACCAATTCAACAAGAATCCAGCCACAGCTTAACTAAGGATCTGCTTGAGCTAGCGAAAATTTAAGTCCTATGATAATTGCTGGAAGCGCTTAAAGAACGGGATAGTTGCTCTGTAGAGCACACATATTTTGTGGGGAGAATGATTGTAAGGGAGTAAACATCAACTCACATGACACGGGCTGCGTATTTTTCCGGAAGCGGACCTATGTTCGCCAAGGTGGAACGACTAAGGCAGCCCTCTCTCGTACGGCTTAATCGTGCCGCTGCGCAACCCACACCTCATGTTGGGTGCGCCACACCAAAACAATAAAAACACCAAAATGATAAAAATCTTGCAATTTCATCATCTTCATCATCATCATCAATTAATAACTCACCACATTGTCAAATAAGAATAAAAATATTGAAGACTGTATTCAAAAAGCTGTCACTTATTATTGAAAAAACTCAAATTTCAAAATACTGTCTTTGTCATAAGAATTTGAGGTTTCTTATTAATATCTCTAAGTATGTATCAATGGAAGATCTCTAAATACTGCAAAGATTTCAGTTAACAAGAGATTAAATGAGAGTCAGAAGAATGTGATTAAACAATGAGTCAAGCTGCTTAATGAAAAGAATTATTTTTTCACAGTCAAATATATTGAAGATTTCATATATTCAATACTCAAATATCAGTACATAGATTCTACTACCTCTTCTTCAAAAGTCAGCAAGATGTGAACTTATAGATTCATTGAACATCTATCTGAGTATAAGAGGGTGAAACAGAAGTCAATGAATTCAAAGAGAGTGGCAGTTGAAGATATTAAATATATTAATACATAATTTGAATGTCTCTGAATTCTATTTAAGTTCATATAATACATAAATCTTCATAAGATAATTCTGTATAAATTTTCATTACATGCTACTCATTTGCTACAATCTTTGAATAGTCTATCATTTCAGCAATATAAGTATTATTATTCAAAAGCAGTCAACTATGCTGCATATCATGGTCTTGTTAAGTATGAAAAACAGCAATTTCTACAAGACCTCTCAGCTATATGAAAATAGATCTTTAAATCTGATACAATAGCTGCAGAATGAGCTCAATATAACATATATCTATGTAATTCTGACTGAGTTCTTGACACTCTTAAGTAGTGAATCTCATCACCTCCTTCACTGCAGATTTATAAAAATGAGAATGATTCAGATCATATATTTATTTCTTCTTCTCAGCTATTCTCATCAAAGACAATTCAAAAGCTGAAACATTATATTAATATTGTAGAAAATACCATACAAAGTATTAGAGATACTCTTGATTTGAAATCACTCATCTTGACATGTTGTTTGAACAAGATATTCAAAGTAAGTCTAATTCATGTGGAACTTAATGAGCAACAGATCACTGAATTAAAGAACTTTCTCAATATCAGTAAATGCTACAGAGCTAAAACAATCTGTCATCAGATTCAAGTAGAAGAGGTCTTCACTATTAAAGATGCCAATAGAAAAATCAAGTGGTGTAAGGATAATAAAGCTGAAAAAGAGCAGAATAAGAAGTGATAAAGGCTTGGAGTTGATTCTATGAAAATTGGCAATAACTCACTCACTGTAAAGGGTTAAGCTCTAAGAACTAGAGGCTAGTCCTCCTATATAACAAGGACGAATTGCTTGAGAAAGGGAAGAAAAGAATGAGACGAGAACTCGAGCTTAAGCAAGCTCGCGTAGCATGATCACGTGCGCACGTGCAAACGATGGCTAGGCTGAGTCAGCCAGCCAGAGCGAATCTAGGGGTTAACCCCTTATACTCACACCACTGACAAAAGAGGAATTAAATCAATTTAGAGATGGCACACATACTGAGAATGATGTAGATAATCTTTTTATTATAGATTAGCTATTGGTTGTTGATATAGAGTGCAATAATGAGGATGTGATTCAAGATTTTTATCATTTTGGTGTTTTCATCATTTTGGTGTGGTGCACCCACATGAGGTGTGGGTTGCGCAGCGGCACGATTAGTGGTTAACCCGACGAGACAATCTCAGCGGAAATCTTGTTATTTTAAGTGTATATGTGATCAAGATGATCATAACATGAAGAAAGAATCTCGGAGACGGAGGATAGGGTGATCTTTTGATTATATAGCGTCTCAAACCAATGTCGTAAGGCCTTGTTGCGGAGGCTTGGATTTTGCAATTAATGAGTGCGTAGAGCTATCTTTTGGTTGACCGAAATCACGGTTCTGCATGGTATTTTGACTCGGTATATAACGAATTATATAGAATATCTAATGAATAGTTAACGAAATTTCGCGGTATAGAGGTTTAACGAATTTTTGTTCATTACATGGAGGTTCGTCATAAAAAGGCTTTACTGTATGCGTTGGTGGTTGTTGGAACGATTAATGGTGAGCAACTATACTTAACTAAGGATTTTGGAGACTCACTAGTTTCTTTGATTAACTAATAGTTAACTATAGTTACCTACTAGAACTAAACCAGAGCTCTCCCACGATCTCTTGCACATCTCGTTGTTGGGGCATCTAGCCATTTTACGGCGCAGAATTGAGCTGGATTTCTCCAGAAACATTACAAAACTAAGTAATTCCCAAATCGCATACTGATCCTCTTTAATATTTCTGTCTTTTTGCTGCAACGTCATGTTTCGCACACGTTCTGTGCCGTCCAAAGCTCTGCGGGCTGTTGGGCATGCGCAACAAACCACCATCTCTACTGCACATATGACCTTCCCACAATGCCTTAGACAGCAATTAAGACGGTTTGGAGCTGCTTCGCGGTGTATGGAAGAAAACCTCTCTTTCAAGACCCAGCTATATGAGAGCACGCAGCAGCGGTTAATCAGAGAACGGGCGGAGCAAGCTCGATATGCCAAGGCCCAGCACGAGACTCCGGCCGTTCGTACTGTTGCGATGACAGTTGGTGTGTAGAGATGATCATTATATTAGTTTTGACAGTTTTTGGCCAATTGACAGCTTGATAGTGCTTGTTTCCGCGTCTCTGGGGTGCTACTATCTCGGATCTTTAAATCCCGCACAAGCCCCTTCTAACTCGACGAATCCCCTAAGTAACACCCATACTCCCTGCTACAATATCTCCCCCTCGAATCTCCAGGCGGCCTGGGCAGATTTTGTCGAGATTGTCGGGAAAGAAAACGTATCTACTGCGAAAGATGATGTGGTCGCTCATGCAGGATCAGAATGGTCTTCCTACGCTCGGAAGGAAAACGAGAAGCCCTTCTTGATTGTGTATCCCTCAACAACCGAAGAGGTGTCCCGGATCATGAAAGTATGTCACGAACGATTAATTCCGGTTACTCCTTATTCTGGTGGAACAAGCTTGGAAGGTCATTTTACACCTACGCGAGGCGGTGTCTGCGTGGATTTCCAGCGCATGGCCAAGATACTGGCTTTGCACAAGGACGATTTGGATGTGGTGGTGCAGCCAGCTGTAGGTTGGGAGGACTTGAACGAGGAATTGGCCAAGGACAGCCTTTTCTTCCCTCCTGATCCCGGCCCTAGGGCACAAATTGGTGGGATGATAGGGACCGGTTGTTCGGGGACAAATGCATACCGTTACGGAACTATGAGGGAATGGGTTATCTCACTGACAGTCGTTCTTGCTGATGGTACAGTGATTAAGACCCGACAGCGCCCCCGCAAATCAAGTGCGGGATACGACCTTACGAGGCTTTTTATTGGCAGCGAAGGCACACTTGGACTGATTACAGAGGCAACCTTGAAACTAACAGTCAAACCCAAGAACGAGAGCGTAGCAGTTGCTGCATTCCCCACAATTCATAATGCTGCTGAGTGCGTGGCGAAGATTGTGGCAGAGGGCATTCCTGTTGCGGGTCTTGAAATCTTAGACGATGTCCAGATGAAGTGTATCAATGCGAGCAAAACTACAAGCCGAACGTGGGCGGAAGCTCCCACATTATTCCTCAAGTTCACTGGTACTCCACTGGGCGTCAAAGAGCAGATTGCACTTGTGAAGCAACTTGCTGCGTCAACTAAAAGCAAATCATTTGAATTTGCTCGAAATCAACTGGAAAAAGAGGAGCTTTGGAGTGCAAGAAAGGAGGCTCTGTGGAGCGTCATGGCCATGAAGAGGAACCCCACTGATCGCGTGTGGACAACAGATGTCGCTGTCCCCATCAGCCGGCTGCCAGATATCATCGAGCAGACCAAGAAGGATATTGTCAAGCACGGTTTGCTTGCGGGCATCTGCGGTCATGTTGGGGATGGAAATTTCCATGGTAAGTTTTTTTTTTCTCTATACACCTCTATTGATCCTCCATTTACGCCATGAAACATATTTCCTTTTTTTTTAAAAAAAAAAAAAGAAAAGAAAAGAAATTGCTAAAAATCTACTTTCATAGCAATCATCCTATTTAACGATGCGGAGCGGGAAACCGTTGAAGGAGTCGTCCATCGGATGGTTAAGAGGGCCGTGGAGATGGAGGGAACTGTAACTGGTGAACATGGTGTGGGCCTCATCAAACGTGATTACCTTCCTCATGAGCTTGGTGAAACGACAGTGGATGCTATGCGAAGGGTGAGTTCCATTCCTGCTTGCTATTTTTTTCTTGTCTTCTTGCCTTATTTCAATGGCATGTGTAAACAGCCAAGTATATGCTCAATTAACAACGTTGCTAACACTTATCAATTCAACCCCATCAGCTGAAACAGGCTTTCGATCCCCTATCACTACTCAATGCCGACAAAGTTGTCCGGATAGAACCACCAGGGGTGGAAGACGTTAAGAAGTGGTAATCTACCGTCACTTGATTGATGCGAATATTATTTTGATAAGGTTCTGTATGTCAAATACCATATAACATATTTAAATCATTTCCATGTAACCTTCCTCCACATGTCTACCCCTAGTCGACGTGCAGGTTGCTTAAATCCACTGAAACATACGAAATATCAACCGATATATTCGTCTTCACTCTTTGAACATCTGTTACATTTCCGATGAAAGAAAGCTGCAAGTCCGATCTCGACAGCAAATGGAAAGCAAACCATGTATATTGTTGGTGGATCTACTCGCTTCTTGTGTATTCTTTTGTTCAGATTCCAAATCACGGAGCTTTTCTCACCAAGTATTTCTTCCTCCTTATCCAGCCTGCAGCTGACATCCCCATTCCATTACAGATTACTGACAAATACACCTTCCAGAATACTTACTGCAGCGGCAGCGTTGGACCTTCCGTTTCTTCTGGGCTTGTCCACAGGAAATGACAAGGAAGGCGCAACATGTCCTCGGGCCATCTGCGACTCCCTTATTTATCGCCTATATCACGAACGCAATTTCAGTGGCTTCAATTTTCGCATGCTTTCAACGTCTTTTCCTTCGTTTTCTTGATTTATATATTTTTCATTGCATCTGATATAAAACACTTCTTCTCACAAAACCGCCTAAAGGGGCCGAAGATGCACCCCTTGATAGCAACCCACTGCGTGAGCTTCATGGGCTGGCTAAGAGATAGATTTGCCCCGGTGCTGCCCAAAGACATTCGCAAGTTGCTCCTTGAGCGGATCGAATTAGTTGACCAGGTGATGCAGGATCTGGTATGTTTAAACTCCCCTTCTCCATCCAATACCTCCCTTTGTTCGTTTCTCGGTACAGGGATGAATGTTATCTTTGATATGGGATAGGGCCAGTATTCGAATTTGAAACTTCGTTAAAATCCAGCACTCATTCTTAGACTTACAATTTGTATTTCCATCTAGCTACCAGCGGAAAACTTAACAGTGGAAGAAGTCGTTGAAATATTTCAGCTGGATTACGATTCGGATTTGAATGTTTGGGATTTGGAGCCAGAGGATATGTGGGATATGCCACTGTGCCTGGGTGAGGCTCCCCGTTCCTTAAATATATTGCGTAGATAGATTATGCTATTTTAGCTACCAGACTGAGAGTAGTTGGCCCCCTTAGATATACACTCAACAGTGCATCTTCTGATATAGGCATACACGATGGCAATCCAAAACACCTAAGCACGCATCCTTTCTAACGAAGAACAGGCTCTCTTCTTTCTGAACTCAACTACGTCTCTTCGGGGCGTAAAAGCGATGGACTTATCCGATGCCGCCTAAACCTCATCCTCATGACCTGTCTCGCAGCGGAGGAGCGACATTTCAATGGTCTGCCACCGGATCCAGCTCTTACTGGTTGTCACCACGAACCACCTTCCCAACAATCACCACCTGAATCGTTTGCGATACCGTCATTGAAATCTCATCAGGTTGACCCGCCAGTGTGGGTCTCGAACAGACCTGAAACGGTGCGCTTGAGCATGGAGATACGCTTTATGGAAGAAGTGTATTACAATATGGGCGGGCGGTATCTCTATGGTTCAGCGGATTTTGCGTTGTGGTATGGACCTGTCGCAGAGATGGCGACTAATCTAGTCGTTGTGGCTGTCGGTGGGGAGCGTACAGCGACTCAGGGAGAGGGGAAGTGTTTGGCAATTATGAGTATGTTATCTAATTCTGTGACGGAGAGTATAAGTGCAATCCAGGTCCGTGTTTTGTTAATATAATTCTCTGTTCGGTCAGGTCTTATTCATCAGAAGAGAAAAGAGTATGGGAAGAAAATTTTCACCGTGTATGGGTTATGCAGTGATGGCGTTGAGTTCAACTTTCTCAGGTTGGATAGTGACTCCAAAGTGAGTGAAGATTATACATTTTTATTATTCCTTTCAGAATGTCTTTTCCTGGTCTAATGGTATGGCCATGGAACGAACAAAAACAGTTGTCTAGAATCGGTCCTGCGCTTGACTGGAGCTGGGGAAGAGCGTCTGATATCGTGTCCCTCATTCGGTATATCATGCGCACGGCGATCCTGGCGACACCAACTTCCACGCCGATGAGGAGTGATTGTTCTATGGAACTGGGGTAAGTAGATCTTTACTTGCCAACCTGATTGTGTGGATGCAAGGGCTGTCAAAGTGATGAATGGATTAATGCATTCAGCATTTAGGATATTCGGAGATGGGACTTGAATCTGCAGAGGGTGGAATGAAGTCCACTTAATTAATTACTGTATCTCTCCACTTGGCGTGAATCATCCAACCACACACTCGATTATTGTTATTGGGTTTGAGAAAAAATCAATCTTTCGCTGTGTCACCCTTTTGTTTTGTCTTCCTGTGTTATTCGTGCATTTAATTTTTCCAATTTCCTCCAGCCCATCAGGGTGCTATGATCTTATGGCGGGGCAATTCTCCAGGTGCAGTAGCGCGCAGCCCAAACAGGCAACCCGACATGAACAAACTTCCGCCTTTACAGGTGTAAGGAAGAAAATCTGTCAGCCTAGGATTCATTTTAATTAGCCAAGATATTTAATTGGGCTTTCGACTCGTGACTCACAACACGTCAATGGACACCAAGGAATTAACCCGGAGGCGTGGGGAAGCCGTGCTGCAATCCAGACGTTAATTACCTGATTTTTCAGCTAGCAGTTAACAGGGGATGGTAAGACCATTCTCCCTCCCTCCCCCACCACCTCTCCCCCTCTTTGCTTTTATGTGATATATATTAGAACTCGAACTAGCTAATAGCTGTCGTCTCATCAGTTGTCCTGTCGGAACCTTCTGGGGTTCAGCAGGTTGACCACTTTCAACCACCCATTGTGCACTGCGGACAGATATACAGCTTTCTTGATACATCCCTCCAACAGCTGCGTATCCTGTCTGTTTATGACTATATATCTAATTACGGAGCTCGTCAAATCTGGTTGATTAACTAAAACTCGGACAACGGATCAGCATCAGCATCAGCATTGGTATTGACAATGGATGACAACGATCTTTCCCTTCCCAGAGAAGAGCTATCCAAGGCCGACATGACAGCCCCTGCTTTGGGCAAAAAGGTGAGAACCACCTCCGTGGACTCGAGTTTCCCAGTCCTCCTCCCCGAAGATCCGTGCTTGCGTATGTCCCAGGAAGAATTCGAGGCAGCTATCCTCAAGACTCTTCCTAATTTCATAGGCATCGAAAGTGAAATGGGTGTTCTGGATATCTTGGACGACGATAGTTCATTTCCCATGTTTTCCCACGATAAAACCGGTGCAGATCCCAAAACGATCCAAATGACACAGCCCTCAACAACGGGTAACACCTTCGTTGACGTCCTCAATCGCGCAGCTGCGAACCCCACTGGTGAACAAGCCGATGCTACTGAGATGGCGAGGAGGAATCGTATGTTGACGGAAAATATGGGGATGGCGTATGCATCGACGCAGTCACCTATACTTGAACTGTTCAATAAGGTTGATCATAAGGGCAATTATTATGTAAATAATCAGCAGCCACTGGCTGAAACGCTCGAGGAAGCGTGGAAAGCTGACCCATTGATGACGTTGAAGGTTATTTGGATGGTGCGCAGCATTCATTTGGGGAAAGGGGACAAGGGGATGTTTTACAGGCAGCTGGGTTGGTTGAAGGAGAAGCATCCACGAACGCTTTTAATGAATTTAAAGTGGCTTCATAGGGCTGTTATCAAAAAAGATGCAAAAAGGAGAGAGGGAGATGACCATGTTATTTTTGATAAAGTTAACATGGGGGGAGTGGAGGGAGAAAGGACGCAGGTGGAAGTCGATGATTTCGATGTTCTACATGGTGTGTCGCACGGCTATTGGAAGGATTTACTAAATATACTTGTTCTATCATCACAGGAAAGGCTGGACATGAGTGATCCTGACGAGGTTCTGTTGAGGGATTGTCGTGTTCGCAAGGAACAACATGATGGCATGAGGCAGAGGCGAAATAGGTCCAGGACGCATCTACGGGGCGCAGTGAGGGGCAAAATGAGGGGCGGGGCGAGGGGTCGAAATCGATTGGCTAGGGAACAACCTACTCCGGCGCAACGACAGGAACGAAAGAAGTGCGCTGTGGAGCTCGTGAAGCAACAGAAAGCAGCATCCAAGGAGGAAAAGGCACGGCGTCATGCACATATCCTTAATCGTTTGGCAAGAGACCCTTTCCACCGCGCTCTCCACCTAACCGTCGCCCGTCTCTTCGCTGATCAGCTGCGCAAGGACAAGCTGCTGCTTGAATCCGGAAACAAGGATAACAAAGAATCACTCCGCGGACTCTCTTTATGCGCAAAATGGGCTCCTTCCCTCGAGCATTTTCACGACAAGCACACCCTTATCGCCACTACTATCGCAGAGCTCCTCTTCCCCTCGTCTGCCTTGGAAGACTACTCCCAACTTACCGATCCACGTTCTCGAGATACCTATCTCAAATACGCTCGCGAACACTACCGTGCAAAAATTTTGTCGCCTCTCCGCAAAGCCCTCTCTATTGTCGAGCGGGACATCTCTGCTCAAACCTTCTCAAACATCCAATATTCCCATGTCCCCTCTATAGCTATGAATAAATATAGAGAGCTCTTCTCCACCAAAGATTCCGACCGTTTCCATGCCTACCTACAAGATGTGGCACTGGGCAAAGTCACCATTTCTGGAGCCATACTAACCCCTGGTTCGCTAATAAAACAAGTCTTGGGCCTTGTGAATCACACTGGTCAGGACGCGGTTACATATGCCACCGTTTTAGATCTGCAGTGGAAAACAATGGTGCAGCGCATAAAGGACTCTGGGACGCTTAGTAACTCCATGGCAGTGTGTGATGTTAGTGGCTCTATGAATGGTCCGGCTGATCGTCTGGGGATCTGTCCACTCGATCATGCTATCGGTCTCAGTCTTCTTATAGCTGAGGTGACGAAGCCGCCATTTGGAGGGCGGATTATTACTTTCTCGCAGAATCCACAGATACAGGTTGTGGGCGGGGAAGCAGATGGAAGGTCCTTGAAAGATAAAGTGCAATATGTGCAGCGCGCTAATTGGGGTTGGAATACGGACTTTATCGAGGTGTTCCGACAGGTAATTTTGCCGTTGGCGGTGGAGAATAAGGTCCCACCAGAAGATATGGTGAAAAGGGTCTTTGTGTTTAGCGATATGCAGTTTGATCAGGCACAGGGAGATGGGATGCATGGCTTTATGACACCTGTTTTTGGGGTGCCGGGGTCAGGCCCTGAGGTTAATAGGTGGCAGACACATCACCAGTTTGTGGAGATGGAGTTTCAAAAGCATGGGTATGAGGTGCCCGAGTTAGTGTATTGGAATCTCGCGGGGAGGGCTGGGGCGGTCCCTGTTACTCATGACATGAAGGGGACGGCACTAGTGAGTGGTCAGAGTCAGGCATTGATGAAGGCGTTCTTGGATTGCGGGGTGTTTGAGGAAGAAGAGATTGAGGCGATGGAAGGGGACGGCCAGGGGGATGATTCGTTGGGAGAAAACCAGAAGAAAAAGACTAGATTTGACCCGCTAAAGATTGTTCGGAAAGCTGTTGGGCATGCGGGTTTTGATATGTTGAGAGTTGTGGACTGAGTTGAATCCCTCTCCGCCCCATGATGATTTCATGAATATGATAGTATTACTGCCTGTCCATATCCATGCAAGAACTACCAGTGAAGCCTAATCCCTCAGCCAGTTCAGTCCTTGAAGATTGAATTTATCTTGGGATGAATATCGGTATTCAATTATAATTAAATGGTCTTTCTTTTCCCACTGCCCTTTTCCGTCTCACTACTAATTTCCAACTGTTAAGATGAACCTTATTGTGTTGAAGAGATAGGACTACACAATCTCATTTAGAAGTATAGTTGGTAAACAAACAGCTCATGTAAACGGCAGCATCATTCAAATCAAAAATAATTAATATGGCCACCTAAATCAACTAACAACACATCAGCATAAACTACCAGTTGAATAAAGGTCCCTCGTATTCTGCTCAACCACATAGCTACACTCAGCAAAGTATCGTAACTGTCCAAGCTCAGTTCCTAAACCGTAGATCTAAGAATCACGTCTGTGGTGTTGCTGCTTCTGCCTGTGCCTTTTTTTATGACCATCATCACTCCCATTATCATCATCATCTCCACTCCTATTCTTATACTTGCGACGATATTTATCTTCATCGTCATCGTTGTCTCCCCTGTGACCATGATCCCGTTCACGGCTACCACGACGGCGCTCATCACTGCCATAGTGCCCACTTCCATAGCGGCGTAGTTCCCTTTCGCGTGAGCCAGAGTGCTCACGTCGGCCATGCGGCTGAGAAGTCAAGGTTTCGTATTCCTGTCGATGACCGTAAGTGCGGGATTCTCCACCGCCATACCCACCGCTCTCACCGCCGGAAAACCCTCCGTAGTCGCGGGGCTCAGGTTCGCTATAGCCTCCATTCCCATCTCCATAGGTCCGAGGTTTGTTTTCGCCATAGTAGCCGCGACTCTCACCACCACCACCAGAACGCTCACCGTAACCACCGGAACGGCCCGTACCGTAACTTTAAAAAGCAGGAAAGCTCAAGTTAGCTGGTGAGGATGCACAAATAATCAGAGAACAGGTAAAGGGGGTGTCCCAACAAACCTTTCTTCACCACGACCGTAGCTAGATGTTTCACCGTATTGGGCCTCGCGATATCCACTACTCTGATACGCTTCGCGGCCGTCGTCGTCATAGCTCTTCGATTTGTATTTATCTTCTTTATGTTTTTTGTCCTTGTCAGCTTTCTTCTCTTTCTTTTCTTCCTTATATTCTTTATATTTCTTCTCCTCCTTTTCTCTGTACTTTTTTCCTTCCTTTTCTTCCTTGTGCTTTTTCTCTCTTTTGTCATCATTGTCCTTTTTATCTTTCCTATCTTTCTTGTCATCTTTCTCTCCCTTCTCCTCCTTGTGCTTCTTTTTCTCTTTCTCATCTTCATCCTTTTTGTTATCCTTGCCCTGGGAATAATCATGTTGCTGTGGGTACTGAGGGGAGTGATAGTCTCTCCTCTCCTTTCGGCGCTTACCATCGTCCCGTTGATCTAACGTGCCAGTTGTAGCTCCACCAACTATTCCCCCGACTAAACTGCCAATTAAACCTCCTCCAACAGCCTCAAAAGCCATTTTCTCAATTTCCGATGGCATCGATTGTTTTGAAGATTTCCCCGAAAAGCCTCCGAGGCCAAACAAATCCTGAGCACCACCCGGGACGAAGTGACTCCGGGTCGGGAGAGTCATAGGTTTGCCGCAACCATGCCCAGAGTCGTGGACTCCAGGCTTATGGTTATCGCCATTCCGGACACCTTCTCGGCTGAGCTGTCGTCGAAGCGAATCCTGGCCACGACCTCCTTGTTCGTTCCACCAGCTCTCCACAATGCCAAACATAGTTAGACGCATGTCCTTCGCACCATCTTCCCCGTAATCACGTAGAGCTGGGTGATGAAGGACGCCGCTGATAATCCTATTCATTGTACGGTCAACATCAATGCTTTCGTCATCCCAGCACTCCATGATCTGCGGAACCACCCATCTCACAATTTCCGCAGCAGCCTCTAAAAGTTACAAACTCGTTAGCATGTGCTCTCCAATAGTAATGGCGGGAACAGGGCAGCTTTTGCCAACGACAACTGAAACGAGGGTGGGAGTGGGGATTATTGGCTACAGCAAAAGAGAAAGTCACTGACTTCCAGCTGGCTCATTTAGCAGGTTGCTGAAGTGGTCCTTAGATAGCATGGAGTGAGTTGGATCAGTACAGTAGTCATCATTGAAAGTGTTATACTGTTGGGCTTTGCTGCTCTGAATGACCTCTGATGAACCAGTCTGAAGTTCAAATTTGACCTGCTTGATAATCGGGAGAACGTAGGGAGCCAGGACGGAAAAGACGAAGACATTGAGTTGCTCCTGAACTTGCTCAACTATATCAGAGAGTCCCGGAATCGCCTCAATCGCTTTGTTGATGGACTTCATCAAATTGTCGTGCCATTCCAAGAGTGGGTAGACCTGTTGGTGAACGTCATTAAGGTAATTGACCCATTCCTCTGGTTCGCGAGGAGAAATGTTCTCGGTTCTTTTCTTATTAGACTGTGCATTGGACTTGAATTCGTTCATTTTTGTGCCACTGTCATCTCCTCCGAAGAGGCCGTTAGGGACCTTATCGAGAAGGTTCTGGAGAAACCCTTCCTGCAGTTGTTCCTTTTCAGAATCTGCGATCAAACCCTCCAAGCTTTGTATTTCGGATTGAGTCGCCTTATCAGAAATTTCTCCCATAACACTATGGAGGAAGTCCACTACAACATTGAGCTCTTGTCAGGGATGCAATTTTACAACTCCACGAAAGCTTGAAATCTGTTTACTCACCGCCACCGAATGTGCCCGTCACGATGGGATAGACTTTGTCTCTTGCCCCTTGAAGTTGAACCTTGGTGTTTCTGCCAACATGAGGGAAAATATCGGTCTCGCCAAGTTCGATCAGACTGAGCTCTGTATAGTTGCTATGGGCCATATAGTCTTCGAGGGTGTGCCTAATTACATTACAAACCATCGATTAGAGATATACATTGTTTTACAGGAGGCACAAATAAAGGAATGTTGACGGCTGCAGTTGCAATACAGTATTCAAGATCCAACTTCTACGACGGAATAGGATCAAACTTACAGACCAGTTCCCATGAGCCTCAGGGCTTCATGCAAGTCGCTCTCGTTACGCGAGCGAGAATATTTGCGACCAAGTTCAATGCATCTACCAAATAACCTTCTCAAAAGTTGTGCAGAATTGTCGATACCTAGATCCTCAGACGCGATGTAGTTCTTCAAGCCTGTTGACATACGTCACTATCAGGTGCTAGAGCTTCAAGGATAGTTCACGGACCATTTCTTACCAGTACGAGGATCGATGCCGAGCTCCCTCTGTTCGTCGATAGGGCCTCTAAGTCGTCTATGATATCGGCGTGGGTCCTCGCCCTCGCCATATCCCAATGGATTATCGATGTGCTCGGTAGGCTGGTAGCATCCAATGCGCTCAGTGGTTACTTCAAACTCGCCAGTGCCATACCTGAAGAACATTGTTTAGTATAAACCAGAAATGTGCATCTCGCCAGTCCATTCAACAATAGGAAAGACAAAATGTTGAAGATCCGGAAGGACAATAACGTCAACAGGTAGCTAGGATCCAACATACCCAAACGTCATAAATCCCAAAACTAAAAGCAGAATCCTAATTGCTTCAGCAGAGACGTATTTCACCGTACCAATATCGATAGCCTGGCTGTAGTCCTTCTGGGGAATTAACTTTCGTTTCCCAAACACAGTTGAAAGTTAAATGTAAACAAAATAAAATATATACCCGGAGCCAATTCCCAAAATATATACGTTGGACATCTAATTTGGAGAATTTCTTTCCGCCAGCTGAACGGGCCATCATCAGAGTTAAGATCACATCTTCGATGTCACCATGGCGCCAATTCTGGCCCTCGATTTTGGACATAGAGGCGATGTTGCCGGCTCCGAAAGCGTGAGATGGGCGGGCCAACAAGAGAAAAAGCAGACAGGTAGCGGCTACAGTGGTGGTGGTTGACCAAGCCATGGTTGCTGCTGAGTTGACAATGGCCAGTTAGTTTCAACGTTTCTCACGCAGAATGTGTAAGTTTCGTTAAGAAATTTGACAATGTGATGGTTTGTTCTGTTGATGGCGCAGTTTTTGCTACACCAGAAGTCGATGGAAAAACAGCCCCGCTATCGCATAAAGGTCAAGACACTCGACAATGAAAGAGGCCCCTAGTCAATGGGAGTTAGAATATGACAGTGAATAAAAGAGAGAATGGGCGAGTGTAGTCGAGAGACAGAGGGAAAGATGAAAAAGTGAAGAAAAGTCGGGAAAAACCCCTGTTTTGATGTCAGTCTCTGAGGTGGGAGTGTAAGGGACGTCGGGCGAAGTTGAAGGTGGGGCAACGTCTCACCCGAGTATAACTAAATATCAGCCAGCCAACCCTACTAACAACTATCCGAACCGCTGCGAGTTTTGGCCGGAAAACAAGAAATCGCACACGGACCAATTATAGATCGCTAAGGGGATATGTATCATCCAAACTGGAGCAAGTTGGACATCAATGTTGATTCGAGGTTTGCTTGAACATTAGTTCTATAAATCCCACAGTGAAGCTCCCATGAACAACGCATTTGGACACTCAGGGAACCTATCCTTGCTTTTAGCACCAGAACCCCTCCGAGAGGATCTCAACCGAAAGCCCAAGTCCTGTAGTCCATGAACAGAACATTCTCTGTTCATCTTATGGCGAAACCCTGCCTATGACGAAATGGAATCCTTCCAAGCCATGACGGACGCCTGCAATTCCCTTTTTGCTGAGTCCATTGTCTGGATATTGAAAACCATCCTTAGCTCCCGGATTTTCTGGTACAATTTGATGGAAGCATCTAGGATCTCTTGATTAATTGACTGACCTTGTTTAGAAAGCAGCTAAAAAGTCCAATTGCTGCCTCTATTTGCATGATCCCATAGCCACATTAGTAACTCCATCAATCCCGCTCTTTCTCGAAGGTATTCCTGACATGGCGCTTATGCTCTCACTTCTTGGTCACTGTGTTGGCTTATACTAGAAACTTATAGCATAAGCTTTGATATACGTATTATCGTATCAATTTGCATGCATCTTGTTTAACAATGCATCAGTAATTCGACGCCCGAGTAGCAAGACACGTAACCCCCCTTTTGAGTCCACTGACTGTGGTCGAGCTTTGGGGGTAGCAGAATTTCATAAATTGTCACGGTGAATACAAATGAAAATAAACTGCCTTTGTAAATTGGGATATTATCATGGAGGCAGAAGGGATAAACAATAGGGACATGAGTTGAATGACATGGATAAACATCTGCCAATGAAACTGCAAACCAACCAACCCAAACCGGAACGCCAATTTCCCATCCCAACACTCCAGCGTATAAAAACACCAAGTTTAGCAAAACAACCATAGCACCATATCAATGACAATCCTGCAAAAGCTTTCATGCCCTCAAAGCATAAGTTCACCCAACTCCAAAAACCATCCAAAATAAATAAATATATAAATAAATGAAAATTAAAAATTAAAATTAAAAATAATACATACCCATCAAATCAACCCCTCTCCAACAAGAACACAAATGTTGCCTTCCGCCCCTGAACATGCGTCAAATATGCATCCAGCTCATGATCCTCATCAATAACATATACAGACTCCCTCCCCGCGCTGTTTCCGTTCCCGTTTTGATTCCCATTCCCAACCTCTTTCTCCGTCCCCTCAATCCTTACAATGTTCACATCCTTAAACCGACTCGTCACCATGCTTTGCAACTCCGCCAATGTCCTAGTCGTCAACTTATCCAGCCACGTCTTCGCATTATGGTAAACCTGTGACTGTGGATGGATGCGTAGGTAGACTGGAATGGGCATGAGGGCTGTGTCGAGCATTGGGTCAACGTATCCGAATGGATGTTCGCCTGTGGGGCTTTGGTGGTGATGGTCAGGGTTGTGAGGGTTGTGCTGGTGATTGTGGTCATGGTCATGGCGGTGGTGATTGGTTGGATCGAGAGCGAAGGAGGTGTTGTTGGCGGCTTGGAGGAGGGAGGGATCTATTTGTAAGTCTGAAATGTCGCCGGACATCATGCGGGTGCTGGCGAGGGCCTGAGAAGCGAGGGTGCTGATGCCGTTGGGGATGGCAGGAGAATTCGCAGAAGGTCGAGTGTAGCTCGAGGTACCGCTGCTCTGAGCGCGTCCTGAGGGGTTATTATCGTTGGCGTTGTTAGATGTAGAAGATCGTTTACGGAAGGGATCTCGCTTCGACATCTCATCTCTAAGTCTCTTGTTCACGTCCCTGCAGAGAATCTCAAGAGCCTTAACCTTCACGGAGTGGTTGGGATCCATTTCACCGGGACCCAGGATCTTCTGGAGCAACTCTGAGCCCTGTATCCATTTCTCCTTAAGCTCGCTCCAATGTTCATCACCAGCCTCTAGCTTGCTCGTAAAATGATCCACTTTTAGAGTCTGATAAAACGCATCACGTATCTGTCTGCTCTCCTCTGGATTGATCCCCAACGCATTTTTAGCGTCTGCAATTGTCATTCTCCGCTGTAACGTCCGCATCCGCTTTGTGACATCCGTACACACCACATCTAACGCCAACGCCTTCGCCTCCATCTGACCAGAATTCGACCAGAACACCATCTGAAGATGCGAAGACTCGTGAATTAATCGATCCTTGGCCGCCTGCCACTTCTCCGGCCCCGCAACGGTCTTCTTAATAAACCCCGCCTCTTCACAGATATGCTGGAAATGATCCCGCAACTCTCGATACATGTCATTATCCAAGCTCAGATACTGCTTGCTCTCATCAAGAGTTGTCTCTGAAGGAAACCGAGGTGGGCCTGGAGGATCTGCAGGCAGGCCACCCCACCCTCTTGTCCTTCGCCGTCGTTTCCGTGCGGCCCATCTCTCCTCACTTTCCGCCTGCAGCCGCTCCATTCTCTCTTTCCGCTTCGCCAGTATCTCCGGAGATAACGCAGGTGATGGAGGACGCTGTTGGGTCGCTGCCTGCAGATCCGCAGCGAATTGTTGCTCTGAAGAATCTAAACTTCCATCCTGCTTATATGCCTCTTGCTGGAGTGCCAGGAGACTCTCATCACTACCCAATTGACCTGGCATCGCTGCTGTTGTGGGCCCCGCCGCAGAGGTAATTGCTGTGGTCACTTTCGGCTTCGCCCTCATCCCATTAGGGACGCGCAGAAGCCATCGATTCTTGGCGCGCACCCGCATAAGCTCACGTTCTTTAATTTCATATCCTTCCTCGTTGAGTATCCGGAGCATGTCGCGCTGGCTAGTATTCCGTTCCCAGAGTTCCTTTATGCGCGCCACGAGGCCTTCATTCTTGTGTGCCGGGTTTTGCTTCGATGGGAACCCCCATCGTTTGAATTGGGTTTGAAAGGCGCGTTTGCTAACAAGCAGCCAAAATTTCCATATTAAAGACCGTATTAGTACCCAGTAATTGAAAGGAAAATGGAAAATTGATTTAATAAACATCTAATTATATATAGCAATGACGACACAAATTAAAGAGACAAAGTAGAGCAAGATGTTGTAAATCAACATACAGTTATTAAGAAATTCTCACGTAGATGCACTCACCTTGGGGCAAACTGATAACACACCTTCATATACTCCATAATCTCCTCAAGAGCTTTCTTATCCTCAATATACATCTTGTAGCAGATGTCGCGTTTGCCATCCCAATCATAAACCATCTTCTTTTTCTCCTTGTTTGCCCCTGTCTCCGGATTCCTTGTTTAATTTCTAAGGGGACGACTGTCGGGATTTTCGCCGCTTCACTCCCCGCGTGCGGGCGAGTTGTTCGCTGCAGACGTAGGAATTACTTCCCTTTACCTTGATTAGTTATAGCTCCGGGGATGGTTAGGTTAAACGGTCCTAGAGCGCGATGATCTTGTCGTTGCGGTCTTCCGTAGGATCGGGGGCAATGTGTAGGTTTCGGTGGTTGCGATCTACCGTAGCGCGAGGGAATCACGTTGTGGGAATCATCTCGATTACGTAAGAATGATATATGCCAAGATATGCCAAGATTCGTTTCTGAGGAATTTGGGCTATCTCGATTTTGGAATTGCCGAGGCTTGACGCTCTTGGCAGTGCCATCCAAGGGAGGTTGGTAGATCGATGCAGGGTTTATTTACAAGGTCAAATTACTTTATCGACGAGTTTGGTTTTAAATGAGACCTAACATTCCGCTTTCAGAAATCCAAGATGTTTTGATCAGCTAGGTACATGAACGAAGGAAAGTTTGTTGCCCGCCAACATACTGAAGAGCCTTCCAACAGGGCCCGTGCAAATTTGCTGGTCTGATGTCAGGGACGTCATGGAAAAGGGAGAGAGAAAGCAACGACCATGATGTTGCTACTCTGTATTCCATGATCGAATGAACGCCAAAAGTAATGATGATGATGATGATGTAACGATAGGAGAAACCATGACGTAGCCTAAAAGAAAAGAAAAGCCCATGGTATCCGTAACAAAGTCCCAAGAGAAAAAGATAACCCCAATAGAAAAGAAAGACGAGCCTGTCCTTGCAGGCACGAGGAAAATATCTCAAACACCTAAATAAATAACGCCATTCCAATATCCATATATAGCTGCACACACTTAACCTTGGCCCGTTCTGTGGGGGAAAGGAGGCAATATAGATGTGTGTATATAGCAGCCGTTGCACTTGTCACTGTTCCCGCCGAAATTTGCAATATAGGAGCGGAGGAAAAAAGATAAAATATAAATAGACAAAACTCCACCCGCTCCTGATGCCAAAAATGAATGCGTGACGCTTAACAATCCGTATAGGAGACAAAAAATCAATTCTATCAAGTCTTCTTCCTGCTAAATTTTCTGCTCATTTTGAATAGTTTTGTCCTCAGCCAAGTAACGAATAAAACCCATGTGCTTTTTGGGCTCTCGAATCTATGACTGATATTGGCCTGCGGAAAGCCGGTGCCAGGTTTCTCGGTCTTCTCATTCATAGACCTACGACCAGAACCATTGGCTTCCGACGATTTTCGATTCTCATTAAACCATGTACCCGTAGAAGAGGTGGTGAATGGTGGCTGAAAGTGATGTTCTCTCTTCTCCTGCCGGCGTAGTTCACGATCCTGGGCTTTCATATTTTGCTTCTCTAACTTGCGCAGTTTGGCAGCCTCTTTATCTTCAAATGCTTGTCGGGCAGCCTGGACTGCAGCAGCTCTAGCGGATGGATCCGTGTTCGTGCGGGTTCTTGAACGAAATGCAAAATCAAGGGAGCTTCTGGAAAGCGGTGACACGGTTTCATAGCTATCAAAAGTATGACTTGGCGGAGTTGGAGAAACGATGTTTGTCAATGAGCTCCCCGGGGCTAGATACGGTTGAGATTCGACATTTAGGCCAGATAAAACCGGAGCAAAGACCTCTCGGGCGACAGGTATCCCGTTATCAAAATCAGTACCGAACCTGCTGGCCTCTGCTGAGTGGTCGTGGTCGCTTTCAATAACAGAATTTTGATAAGAATGACAAATAGGTGGAGTATGAGGTCGAGGGGTCTGGCGCATTGGGTGGACATATTGGGAGCCAGGTTTATGCAGAGATGACCCAGTTGTGGCCGAAAATTGAGATGTTCCACTTGTAGATCTATGGTGGGAGGCGGGCCCAGTTCGACGGGAAGTGGCAGTGTCACTATATCGCCGATCCCGTTCGAGATTTGTATATATTCCCAATCCTTCGTTTTCAAGGGCGGATCGATCTAGATCAATGGAGGTCGAGTCATTCTGCATCGATCGTTTGAGATGCGATCTGATGTTGCCCTTGTGTTTTGTCGATTTTACTTTGTTAACCTTGGGCGTGTACGCAGGGATAAATCGATCGTTTCGCGGCCCACGTTGTATTATGTTTGGAGAGACGTGCATCCAAGCTGGTTTCGGTGCTGGTTGCAAAACCAAAATGGCATCGTTGGTTACAAAGGCTGAGCGTCTGTCGTTCGCAGCGGAGACGGGTTGTGGGTCTTCCAAACCGTCGAGACGAGAGGGGGAACTTGCTGAGTGGGGAGAGGAGCGGTTAGGTCGCCGTGTACTTACAAAACGCGTGGCCCTCACTGCAGCTCGAGTATCTTCGTGGTATCCAAAATGCTGCTGGTGGTGATGATGGCTCACAGAGGCCTTTTTTAGCCCAGAAGAAGACATTTTTGCGGATGCTAAAAAAATTTCTTAAAGAATAGATTGAAGAAAGGTTACCCTTCCTATATATGCTTTAGAGATGGCCGTCAAAGATGCATCGAACTCAAGATGCAGCATATACCCGGACAGGCGTTTTAGGAAGTACGTTGCTTTTAGGGTTATTGTCAGTGATGAGACTTCCCGTGCCGTTGTGGTCCGCGTGGAGACTATGAGCAACTTTATCCAAAATTTCCAAAGAGGCCGTCTGCAAAATCGTTGAGGGACGTTCCGGATAGCAAAGGAATCACGGGCTTTTAACTATATGTTATTTGGGTTGTTGTTGACCGGTAGACTTTCAACAAACGCGGTCGTATAAAGGCTCAAAGTTCACAAGAGCAAAAAAAAAAAAAAAAAAAATGTTGAGGCACCAAAGTCATGCTGTTGGTGGTCGTGATAAAACATACATACACGGACGCAAGAGACGGAAGCAAAGTGACGAGGGGGCTAGTTACCCATTCCACGTCCAAGCTGAGCAGAGTGCTGGAGGTTGGAGAGAGAGGACGACAGCGCTGTCGTGGACGGTTTGTTGGGAGGATAATAATGATGATGAGAAGTTGGCAAACCAGAGTTGGCGGTGGTGGAAGCGATTACTGACTATTACTGGTCAGCCGTTGACGACGAGCCCATGGATTATTGAGGCGCATTTCGGGAAGAGGAAAGCACTGATGGGCGCTGGTTAGGCTGGTACGGTACGAGCAATACGCCAGATCTGGACGTGTATCGACGCCTCTGCGGGGGGCGTGGCCGGTAATCTGGTACCGGCGGAAGGCGATGCGCACTCTAGGGGCTTGGCTTTCTTGGCAGGCTGATTGCTCTGTGATTAGCTCAGCGGGGCGTTAGTGGATAACAAACTGCTAAAGGCCCGGGCCCTAATCACGTGTCCCCCCATAAACTTAGCTGAGATTTCAGCTAGCTAGTTCAATACAACCTCCAAGAGTTAGTTAACTAGTTAATGAAGCCCTTAGAAACGCTGAGAATGATGATATGTCTCTATGTATTGTTTACACATGCCTGAATATTCTTATGATACTTTGAAATAATTAATTTTGGATTAAGTAGAATGTTTAATCTATCAAAGAAATCTATATTATTTAAAAAAAGAAAAAAAAAAAAAACCTCAGCATATATCTGAAAGTTAGATAATAAAATAGAGAATTCTTATCAATGCTTATATAATTTATAAAGAAAATGAATTAATGACAAACTTTAAGATTACTTAGTTAAAAATGACATGTGAAATGATAAGAATAATTATAATAACAATGAAAAACTAATAAAAGATCATATAGTTATCATTAATATAAAGTTGAATAGATAAGAGTTAGTAAAAATATAAATTTTTTATTGAAAAAAATCAATATGAATCTAATAAATTTATTTTATTTGAATAAATATCAATTATCATAAAGATTATCTATAAGTTTAAAGATAAAATATATTTTATCAAAATTTTTAATGTACTAACTAACTCTTAATTTATTGAATTTAAAAAAAGTATTTATAGCAAAGTAATTTGAAACTAATGATATAGTAGATAAAAAGCAAAAGTTCTCTGATGAAATCATCAATACAAATATACCCCTATTGATTAAATGGTTCAGGTATTTGTTGAATGATATATGACGTGGAAAATCAAGAGCCATGAGTTCAAATCCCACAGAAGGAATCTAAAATTCAATGAAATACTATAAGGCGCATTATCTGACCCACATCAGTTAAACTAGCTGTAAGTTTACCCCACATACAAATTGCCACCATTCCTAAGCCGGAAATCGTATAATGTAATCCGCAAGTACACAGTCATAAATTTCAAATTATTGTAACTAAGTTTAACTTAAATCATTTATCTTTAACAATGTCTAATTAAATTAAATTAAATATACTAAGAATTAAAATAGAGAAGCTCTTTGATGTAAATATATTGCAATTACTGTATGAGTGTAGAGCTTATAAGTATGTATAATCTAAGAATATGAAGACTTGAGAGATTAAATAACAGACTGTTCAGCAGATAGAAGAATAAAATTTTAAACTTTTTCTTTAGTTAAATTTTTTATATTTTTACTTTTTTTCTTATTTATAATAAAGATATTCTGATATTACTTTTTAAAATAAAAATACTACTTTTTTTACTTATAAATTCTAATTAAAAATTTTCATTAATTTATAAAATAAATTTTTAAATCTCTATTCTATAAAATTTTAATTTGATTTATCTTTCATATATTTGATAAAATTATTTAGTATTTATAAAACTTAAAATAATATAAAGTAGTTAAATTTATTATTTAAGAATATAATATTGAAATAAAATATTTCATTATTAATTAACTCAATCTGAATTTAATATAATTTAATTAGTAGTTATAGAGTTACTTTAATTATTATAAGATTTAGTTATCTTTATATATATTATAAAATATATAATATTTAAAAGTTAAACTTTATAATAATATTGAATTTAAACTATATTTATTTTTTAACTATATTTATATATATATATATATATTAAAATTATAAAAATATTTTATATATAATAACTGTAGTAAATATATTAAATATATTAATATATAAAATAAATTATTCTCATTCTTATTATAAATATAATTAATATAAAAGTATTAAATTTGATATTTAGTTTTTTAATTATAAAAAGTGTATAAAATTTTATAATAAAAAAATAATTAAATTAAAATTTTATTCAATAAATTATTTCTCTTTTAAATTAATTAATTTATATAAATTTATATATAAAATTTATATATAAATCAGTCACTTAATTAATATATAAAAGTAATTTATAATATTAAATATATTATATATAAGTATTTATTTATTTCTAACTTAAGATTTTTTTCTATTTTTATAGAATTTTTTATAATTTTATTAAAAATATAATAATGTAATTATAAGTTAAAATAATTATATAAAAAGATTAAAAAATTATAAATTTAATTATTTGATTATTTAAATAATTAACTAGTTAGTTAGTTAATTAGTTAACTAATAACTAACTAATTAATGTAATCAATCATCTAGTGAGACAGATCATATACTGAGACAGATCTCCATCATTCAATATCTTTTTAATTGAATCTCATCACAACTAAATGGTAAAATCAGTTAATTATATTATAAATTATTCTCTGTATGCTAAGAGCATGTATGAATAGTATATTATATAATATCATATTCACTGTACTGTGATGCTGCTCATTTTTATGATTATTTATCAAAGTACTCTATTACCTCTCTTTTCTCTGCAATGTCTCTTTGTACATGATTCACCTCTTCTTGAACAGTCAAGCCTTCTCTCTGACTTATATATATATGATATCTTTCTCATTTTCTCTTTTGCTTTGCATTTATAGTCTTTAGCTCTTTGTTTTCTCTTATTAAAATAACAGCATTATGCATAGTCATCTGACTTTCCTTGACTAGCTTTTCTAGAGCTTGATTAATTAGACTGAGTAGACTCTGTATACAGTGCTTGAGATATTTCTTAATCTCCTCACTCTAAAGCTTCAGTTGTCATATATTATGAGATGTGACAGTGACTCAGAAGGTCTAAGAGCTATATGAAATTTCTGAGAAAGTTGATATATGTATCTGAGTATTGAGCTGGGAAAAAACCTGCTCAGAATTATATGAAGCTAGTTCTGTAGCTATAAATCCACTCTAAATATTCTTTTCACTCAGAGCTATCATATGAACTGAAGAATAAATAGTTAAAAACTCATTCTTATCAATATGATTGATGTCAAGTCTTATTCTCTTTTCAACCTCTTTTCTGTATGCTTACTTCAATAAGGAAAAACAAACAACATTTAAAGACTGTAAGAGGTAAGAGAAATAAACTGATATATAAAAAAAAATAATTAAGTTCTGAGTGTAAAATTAATCAAACTCAGAACTATTATGATTGTCACATTCATCAAGAATTAAGAGTCAATATGAATCAATCATACAGACTTGAGTATATTTATTGAATATCTCTTTAAGTCAGATCAAACCCAGCTTATCAGTTGTTCATTCATTTTCACTGATTTCAATTCTGTAGTTGTATAGTAGCTCATTCTCAAATCAAGAAGTCTAATATAACTTCTCTTTGAGAATGATCATTAAAGATAATGATCAGTCTGTTAAATTAACTTTCTCAATAATGATGACTTATTCTGTATTTTCAGACTATATAAGCTTTAGATGAAGAGTCTTCTCTGACTTAGTAATTATCTTGACTGTTTCAATAATTCTCATCTGAAACTCAATCTCATTAAAGTTATATATATTTTTCTGTACAATGTCATATTTCTGAATAGTGTTCTGTACAAGCTTGAATCATTTTTAAATAATTTTAGAATCTTCATATAGAGCTTATCAATGATTATATAATTAGAAGAACTGAGTTTTTATCTCAGAATGACAGTCAATGAATTGTTTAACTCAGCTTTCATTAACAGTTTTTGAATTAAAAGAGTTATCTCAATTGACAAGAAGAAAATTGACTATTTCTCATATAATGCTCACTCAGAGAAGCTGATTATATTCATTTATAAAAATTATTTACTGAACAAAAAATAATTTCTCAATAGAAATCAATTTTCAATTTCTTAACTGAGAGTTTTCTTGCATTGTATAACTGTGAAGTTGATGACAAAAAGTGAAATAAAAGATGTTGTACAATCTGACAGCAGCTCTAGAACTAGAAATTTGATCTTTTGTAACTGCTTCAATAGCTAGAGTAAGTCTTCCTTTCTTGTATAAAAATTATCATCTTTGATTGCTGACATTTTGATCAATTAAGTAGTTAAATGCATCTTGTAATGAAGATCTGTCTCAGTAGATGATCTGTCTCACTAGATGATTGATTATATTAGATAGTTAATAACTATAAATTATATAATATTATAGTTTTAGAATTAATTAATTACTTATTCATATTATTTTATAATATAATTTTTTTTATTATAAAGTATTATCAATATAACTATAACTAGTTAAAGTTTTTAT